GGCACCTGGTGTGGGGGCACCTGGTGTGGGGGCACCTGGTGTGGGGGTAGATGCGGGTGTAGGGGCTGTGGGGGACCAGGCTGGGGAGGCCCCACCCCAGCCGTCCTGCAGTTCTGTTGCCCTCCCATCCCTCAGGACAAGCCCATTTTCCCAATTTTTGGGGGGTCATGGGGTAGTCCTGGCCGCAGGTGCTGGACCTGGGTCTCCGCCTCAGCAAGGGCTCCAGGCACCGGCTGGGCCTGCCATGTCGGCCTCCCACCTATTGCAGACAGAGGCTCCTGGGAACGCCACCTCAGCCACGCTGGGGCCCCTCTCTTCCTCCACCACCTACACTGTCCGCGTCACCTGCCTCTACCCTGGGGGTGGCTCCTCTACGCTGACTGGCCAGGTCACCACCAGTGAGTGGGGAGAGGTTGGGACTGGGGGCCCGGCGAGGGTTCTGCGTCCTGCCCTGCTAGACAGTTCACATCAAGTGTTGTGGGTGCCTGCCCTGGGCTGGTGCTGAGCCAGGTGGGGATGGGCACCCGACGGGTGTGATGAATGGGGGTATAGGGTGCTCCTGGGTGTGGCTGCCCCTCCTCTGAGGCGCCCAGACTCAGGGGCTGCACCCCCAGCCTGTGTCTCCACTTCCTTCAGAGAAAGTTCCCAGCCCAAGCCAGCTGTCCGTGACGGAGCAGCCGGGGGACACAGTCCAGCTGGCATGGGTGGCCGCAGCCCCGTCTGGCGTGCTTGTCTACCAGATCAAGTGGACGCCCCTGGGAGAGGGGAAGGCTCACGAGGTGGGCAGGGATGGACTTGTCCTTCAGAGGGGCCCTCCCTGGGCTCCCAGTCCTGAGGCCCAAGTCCAGGGCTCAGAGCCCTGTGTGCACCCACCCTGTCTCCCAGGGATGCCTCACTGCCCATGGCCTGTGCACCAGACCCCCCAGTCTGAGGACTCCACTGTACCTGGTGACCCCTGTGGCTCTCCTCTCCCTAGATCTCTGTCCCAGGGAACCTCGACACGGCCGTCCTGCCTGGCCTAGGGAGGCACACGGAGTATGACGTCACCATCCTGGCCTACTACAGGGATGGCGCCCGCAGTGACCCTGTGTCCCTCCGCTATACCCCCTGTAGGTGTCTGTGCTCCTCCGCTATACCACCTGTAGGTGTCTGTGTCCCTCCGCTATACCCCCTGTAGGTGTCTGTGCCCCTCCGCTATACCCCTATGAGTGTCTGTGCTCTCCGCTATACCCCCTGTAGGTGTCTGTGCCCCTCCGCTATACCCCTTGTAGATTTGCCCCCTCAGCTACTATACCCCTGTGGGTGTCTGTGTCCCTCTGCTATACCCCCTAGCAGGTGTCCCTCCAGCCCCTGCCTGTAGGTGTCTGTGTCCCTCTGCTGCCTGCCCCCTGTGTTGTCTGTGTCCCTCCCGCTATACCCCTTGGGTGTCCCTCTGCTATACCCCTGTAGGTGTCTGTGTCCTCAGCTATATACCCCTGTGGTGTCTGTGTCCCTCCGCTATACCCCCTGTGAGTGTCTGTGTCCTCAAGCTATACCCCCTGTAGGTGTCCCTCTGCTATACCCCTGTAGGTGTCTGTGCCCCTCACATATACCCCCTGTGGGTGTCTGTGCCCCTCCGCTGCTTTCCCTGTAGGTGTCTGTGCCCCTCCGCTATACCCCCTGTAGGTGTCTGTGTTCCTCCGCTATACCCCCTGTACAGTGTCTGTGTCCCTCCACTATACCCCTGTAGTGTCTCACTTCCGTCTGCTGGGTGTGGCGGATAGCCCAAGGGACCTCACCGCTCCACAGGCCCAGGACTGGAGCTCCCAGAACCACTGTGAGCCGGCTCCTGGAGCCCCTGACCCTGGCCTGGTCACTGGGTCTGCTCGGGGATAGTTCTGTAGGTGTCTGTGTCCCTCCGCTATACCCCCTGTAGGTGTCCCTCCACTTCCCGTCTGCTGGGTGTTGGGCAGGGATGGCCCAAGGGGACCCCTGACTCACCCGCTCCACAGGCCCAGGACCCTAGACTCCCAGAACCACTGGCAGGCCGGCTCCTGGAGCCCCTGACCACTGGCCTGGTCACTGGAGTCTGCTCGGGGATAGGTGTTCCCCCAGTGGCCGAGTGCACAAACCACGTCATGTAGTGTCTTGCAGGGTGGTTGCATAAACCACGTAGTGTCTCACAGGGCAGCCCAGGCAGCAGCCCAGGTTGGGGGTATGGTGGGGGCCCTGGCAGGTGGCATGATGTGGGTGTGGCAGGGGCCCGACGTGGGCTGCGGCAGGGACGCAGTGTCAGCTGTGGCGGGGTGCAGTGTGGGCTGTGGCAGGGGCATGTTGTGGTGTGGCAGTGCGGTGTGGGCCGTGGCAGGTGGCGCAGTGTGGGCCATGGCAGGTGGCATTATGTGGGCCGTGGCAGGGGCACAAGTGTGGATGTGCTGGGGTGTGGTATGGGCTGTGGCAGGGGCATGGTGTGGGCTGTGGCAGGGGTGCGGGTGTGGCATGGCTGGTGGCGCAGTGCGGGCTGTGGCAGGGGCGCAGTGTGGGTGTGCCAGGGGTGTGGTGTGGGCTGTGGCAGGGGTGTGGCTTGGTGTGGTGGGGGCATTACACAGAGCAGGGTAGGGGCTGGGCGGCTGGTCCTCTGGCCACCGGGTGCCTCCTTTCTGGAGGGGCCTGAGCCCCAAACAGCCCGTGCTCTCTGCCAGCCACAGTGAACAGGAGCCCCCCCTCCAACCTGGCCCTGGCCTCGGAGACCCCCAACAGCCTGCAGGTCAGCTGGACACCCCCACGTGGCCGCGTGCTCCACTACCGGCTCACCTACGCGCCCGCCTCTGGCTCAGGACCTGAGAAATCCGTGAGTCTTGGTAGAGCCTGAGACTGCCCCACCTCATGGGGCCTCCTGGAAGGGGTATGGTCATGCTGTCTGCAGAGGGCGGCAGCTCTGCCATGGCGGGACACGGGGAGGCAGCTGAGCCGTGTGGACAAACAAAGTTGCCCAGGAATTGGGGACCAGGTACCCTCCCTTCCCCTAGGTCTCCGTGCCAGGACCCAGGAGCCACGTGACACTCCCCGACCTGCAGGCAGCCACCAAGTACAGGGTCCTGGTCTCAGCTGTCTACGCAGCAGGCAGGAGTGAGGCTGTGTCTGCCACGGGCCAGACAGGTGAGTGGGCACCAAGACCCCAGACCCAGGTAGACCCAGACTCTGGCAGGCCCTAGCTCCCAGCCCCAGCCAGGCCCTAGACCCCAGACCCTGCCAGCTCCAGACTCATCCGACCCCAGACCCAGTTGACCCCAGGGGTCACAGGCAGGCAGGGGTCCCGGGGGGCTGGAGATGCCTGGTCCCAGGCTGGCCCCGCCTGGATTCTCCAGGGACGAGGACATGGTCACAGTTGCCTGGGGTCTTCCACGGTGGGAGCCACTGTTGCTGGTTTTTTGTCTCTTGCTGGTTTCTTGGAGAACCACAGGTGCAGGGCGAGGGCTGTCACAGGCATCCAGCTCGACCTACCAGCTTCCCTCTGGGGAAACCTCCCCGTTGTGGGGTCTTCCAGTCTTGGCTTGCATGCCCTTGGGGTCGCGGTCCTCACTGCCTGGACAGCTACCCTGGCGAGGCGGCCTTCCCATGGGAGGGGAGAGCGGCTTCTCCTGTCAGGGGTGCTCCTTCCTGCCTTCTCGGCCCATGAAGGGTTCTGAGCACCTGCCATAGGGCAAGCCCATGTCCCGAGGCCCCCAGGACACGCGTGCCCCCAGCCTGCCCGAACACCAGAGATCTCCCTGCCCCCAGGACACACGTGCCCCCAGCCTGCCCTCACGCCAGGCATCTCCCTGGCCCTGCCAGCTCAGGGCACACCTGGATGACCAGTACCCTCGAAGGGTATCACACCCAGTGGGATGCCTGGTACGACCCTGGGCCCACCGGGCTGTCTTCTGTGGGGACAGTGGGGGCAGCTGCTTCACTTAGTGAGATCCGGAGGGTCAGGGACCATCCCCGTTCCCTTGCTCTTCTGGGAGGCGTGGGGACCACTGGTCTTGCGGGTAGCAGATGGGACACAGCACAGTCCCACCTGTACAGATGGAGCTCAGGCTGGGGCATCATCCATGAAGCGGCCCCTCCCCAGTGGTCCGTCAGGCATGGGGGGCCGGGCCACTTCCACTCACACTGACCCCGTCTCCTCTCAGCAGCCTGCCCAGCCCTCCGCCCTGACAGCTCCCTCCCAGGTGGGTCCTGCGCGCCCTCCCCTGCCCGCACACGCGCCCGCCCTCCCCTCCCTGCGCGCGCGCCTGCCCTCCCCTGCCCGCCCTCCCCTGCCCGCGTGCGCGCCCGCCCTCCCCTGCCCACCCGCCCGCCCTCCCCTGCCCGCGCGCCCTCCCCTGCCCGCGCGCCCGCCCCTGCCCGCCCTCCCCTGCCCGCCCTGCAGTCTCTCAGGCTCTTCCTGGGCCTGGGGCCAAGCGTGTCGTGACCTGGGACCTGGGGGTGGTGCAGCTGGAGGATGTTTGGGTGGGTTTGCACCTCCACAGACGTCCCTGTGGCTGGCGGTGATTATTCCTGCTTCTCACTGAGGGAGCTGGAACCTGTGCAAGGTCAGGGCCAGGACCTGGCAGAGCCCAGGCAGCGCTGGGGGCCCTGGGTCCTTTCCAGGCCCATTCCAGGGTCTTGGCTGACCGGAGCCTGGGGTCCTCATTCCAGTTGCCTGAGAGTGAGGCCCTCCCCAGAGAGGGGCTGAGAGAGGGCAACTCGAGGGCAGGGGACGGTGCCCCGAGGGTGCAGGGGGGCCTGCGGGTGGTGAGAGCTGGGTCTCATCTAGGGCTTCAGCGAGTGAACCTCCGTGGGGCTGTGACTGCTCTGAGCCTGCAGCAGGGACAAGACAGGACGGGGGGGCAGGCGGGATGGTGGGAAGGCAGGGACGGCCGACTTGAAACAGGCCTTGGAAGGGGCTGCGGCCTCTGCCACCACCTGCCCAGACCTGCTGGCAGCGCCAATAAGCAGCAGTGTGAATGGGGTTTCGCCCTTCACTTTGTACCAGTTAGTGCCAGAAAGGAGCTGGGGCTTCGAGGATGGCGTTGGCCCCTGCGGCTCTGTGCGGGTGGGGCTCGCCGGGGAATGGGGTCATTGCGGGCCCCCAGGCAGGGTGGATGGAGCGAGCCGGCCACGCTGTGTGCCAGCAAAGGGGAGCTCACTGGCGGAGGCTTCCTCGGAGGGAGAAGGACGCTGGGCGGGCTGGGATGCTGTGCAGTGGGCTTGCTGGGGGGCAGGAGTGAGAGGTGGGAGTTGGGGCTCATGGTCGGGGGCTGGGCTTCCACCCTGTCCATCTCTGGGTCTCTGAAGCTGGGCGTGTGGCCCAGTGATTTCCCAGGGAGGCCTGGGGGGGCCCCTCCCAGTGTGTTGGATTCCCCTGGGCGGGGGGCGATGCCCAGCCCAAGGCCTGAAGCAGACCCCTGCCCAGCCCCCAGCCCCTGTGCTGACTTCCCACCCACCCCACTGCGTCAGCCCCTCCCTCACACCGTGCTGCAGCCACTGGGTCCCTCTTGAGTCCCCGCTCCTGCCCCTCCCTCCCTCCCCTGCCATCTCTGATGGTCCCTTGGTGCCCCCTCCCCCTCCATGTCCCCCAGGGTTTGACCTGATGGTGGCCTTCGGCCTGGTGGAAAAGGCTTACGCTTCCATCCGGGGCGTGGCCATGGAGCCCTCTGCCTTCGGTGGGACCCCAACCTTCACGCTTTTTAAGGACGCCCAGCTGACAAGACGGATCAGGTGTGAGGGCGAGGGCTGGGGTGGAGCTGGAAGCCCATGCTGGGGCCGCTGAAGGTTAAGAGGACATGGAGCCGGGGCACGGGCAGGAGACCTCCTGGAGGCTGTGGGACGTGGCAGCGCTGCCACAGCAGCAAAGGGTTGACTCACCCCAGTACTCACACTTCGGAAATTCACATTTTACAAATTAATAAAATCTCCATGGGCAGAATGAGGCCAGCCCCTTGGCATGTTTTTGCACCTAAGTATGGGTCTGTTTGCCATGATCAAACGTGCAGGAGCCCCAGGCTGACCTCCTGTGAGAGCCTTTCTCCCACCTGAGGCGATGGGATGAATCTGCCAATAGCTGGATTTAGAGGAAGTGATCACGCTCAAATAGCTTCTCATGAGATTTGGGACAACAACTGGTATCTCATGACGCCCCTACCTTATTTACAGAGATGTTGTTAATTGTGACCCTGAATTGTGATGTATGCTGCTGATATTTTAAGTTAAAATGTTTGATTATAAAGGTGGAAGTCAGGTGTGTGGCTGCACATCTGCAGTCCCAGCTACTGGGGAGGCTGAGTCCAGGAGGTTGAAACTAGCCTGGACAATGCAGCAAGACCCAACCTCTACAAATAAACAAACAAACTTAGCCGGGTGCAGTGGCAGGCACCTGTGTTCCCAGCTACTCGGGAGGCTGAGGTGGGAGCATGTCTGTCTCAGGAGATGGAGGCTGCAGTGAGCCAGGATTGTGCCACTGTAGTCCAGCCTGGGCAACAGAACAAGACTCTGTCTCTTAAAAAAAAAAAAAAAGTTACAAAGGTGAGTTACATTCTGTAACAGAGATTTTAAAATTACAGAAATATATATATTTAAAAACTCACCTAGCACTGCTGGGGCTTAGGAATGTCTTTCCCAGCCTGTTTTCTCCCCACACAGCTGCCAGCCCCTGTGCTGTGCTTGGCCCTGGCCCCCTGGTCACCACGGCGTCCTCGTGGCTGAACTCAATGACTGTTCCCCAGCTTCCCTCACCATCCTTTCCCTCCCCCAGTCTTGCTGCGCACACCCCCTGCGCTCCGCCCCCATGGCAGTTTCTCTTCAGGGTGATGTAGACACCCTGCCCTCCTCTCTGGGCAGCGGGCTGCAGAGCCCTCTTACTTGGTGGTCTCAGGTGGTGTAGACGCCCCCTGCCCTCCTCTCTTCTTCCGTCTCAGGTGGTGTAGACGCCCCTGCCCTCCTCTCTTCTTCCTCGGCCTCAGGTGGTGTAGATGCCCCTGCCCTCCCTCTCTTCTTCCCTCGGTGGTCTCAGACGGTGTAGACGCCTCTGCCCTCCTCTCCTCTTCCTCGGTGGTCCCAGGTGGTGGTGACGCCCCTGCCCTCCTCTCCCTCTTCCTCGGTGGTCTCAGGTGGTGTGGTGACGCCCCGCCCTCCTCTGTTCTTCCTCGGTGGTCTCAGGTGTAGACTTCTGCCCTCCTCTCTCTTCCTCAGTGGTCTCGAGGTGGTGACACCCCCTGCCCTCCTCTCTTCTTCCTCGGTGGTCTCAGGTGGTGTAGATGCCCCCTGCCCTCCTCTCCTCTTCCTCGGTGGCCTCAGGTGGTGTAGACGCCCCCTGCCCTCCTCTGTTCTTCCTTGGTGGTCTCAGGTGCACATGCTGAGCCGGGTGTTCTTATGGGTGGGCGAGGTGGGAGCTCTGATCGCCTGCAGCTCGAGGCGGCTCCAGGGCCTCCTGGGTGCCTCCCCAAGCTCTCTGCTCTCAAGCAAACCCTCCTGGGACCAGACAGCCAAAGTTGTTCACCACGGGGCTGCTGTTTCCATGAGTCCCTGTTCTCAAATGAGGGCTCCTCCCGGCCTCGAAGCCTGAGCGGGCGCTTCCCATGCCTGTTTGCCCTTCCGGAGCTCGCGGCCCGAGAAGTGGAGGCGGATGGTTCTCTAGGTGCGGCCGCCCAGGGTGGAGCCCCGTGAGGGCTGCCATGCCTAGAGAGGAGGGCTCCTGCTGTGTGGGGCCGGGAGGCTCCTGAGGGGGCACCGTGGTGCCCGGGCCCCGGATCGGTCTGCTCTCGGGACTGCAGCTCCTGCTGTGTGGGGCCGGGAGGCTCCTGAGGGGGCACCGCGGTGCCCGGGCCCCGGATCCAGTCTGCTCTCGGGACTGCAGCTCCGCTGTGTGCCGGAGAGGCTCTGAGGGCACCGCGGTGCCGGGCCCCCGGATCGGTCTGCTCTCGGGACTGCAGCTCCTGCTTCGTAGGGCCGGGGGGAGGCTCTGAAAGGGAGCACCGCTGGTGCCTAGGCCCGGATCCCAGTCTGCCTCTCAGGGACTGCAGGAAGGTACTGGGCAGGGTCTTTCTTGGGCTGTTGGTTTTCATCCTAAGAGTGAGTGGAAGCCAGATAGGGCCGGGAGGCTCCTGAGGGGGCACCGCGGTGCCCGGGCCCCGGATCGGTCTGCTCTCGGGACTGCAGCTCCTGCTTCGTGGGGCCGGGAGGCTCCTGAGGGGGCACCGCGGTGCCTGGGCCCCGGATCGGTCTGCTCTCGGGACTGCAGGAAGGTACTGGGCAGGGTCTTTCTTGGGCTGTTGGTTTTCATCCTAAGAGTGAGTGGAAGCCAGATAGGAGGCTGCGGCCATTGGGACCCCAATTATGTCAGGGGCCTGAGACCCTGCTCCCTGAAACATGAGGGGACCAAGACCCTGGTCCCAGCCCTCAGGGTGTCTTTCTGGGCACCGGCGAGGACCCGCTGGGCACTGCCAGTGAGTGTGAGTCAGGGGAGCTGCTCCCGAGAGCAGAGCTGCCTTTCAGGAGTGACCCTGAGACCCTCCTGTGGGGTGTCCTGGGCCAACACCCCTCACCCTCACGGGGGCCCCCAGGAGCACGGGTCTTGGTGAGCCCTTGCTGGGGTCATCTGGGATGTGACCTGAGATGACCTTGGGCCTGGTGCCTCCGAGTACTTCTGTTGAACCCTTCTCATTCCATGGGAGGGGATTCTGTCCTTTATGTACCCGATGTTACTCATGGGAAACCGAGGCAGGGAAGCCCCATGTGGCCTCATAGACCCTCAGCTCTGTGGACCCACCAATCTGGGCTCTCAGGGAGCCAACGGCCTCCACGCTGAGTCTACAGCTGGGAAGGGCATGCGGGTGCAGGGGTCCACCATGACCCTCAGAGCAGCTTCAGGGACTGGGGCTGGGGCTGGGGCTGGGTGAGCGGATCGTCCTGCCAGGCTTGGCCGCCCTCGGGTCTGCTCATGTGCCTCCACCTCCCCCAACCCCACAGTGACGTCCACCCAGCCCCGCTCCCTCCAGAGCACACCATCGTCTTCCTTGTGCGTGTGCTTCCCGAGACGCCCCGTGAGGCCTTTGCGCTGTGGCAGATGACGGCCGAGGACTTCCAGCCCGTCCTCGGGGTTCTGCTGGACGGTGATGTGGGCCCCCAGCAGTCAGGAGGAGTGGGGCAGGGAGGCCTCAGAGCCCTGGGAGGCTGTCGGAGGAAGTCCAGCCTCCAGGCCAGGCCCTCAGTGCCCCCAGGCAGCAGGGGTGTGGGCGCCCACCCTGGGTGGGAGGCAGGTGTCCCGGTCAGGGGGCCATGGGCCACACTGAGGGTCACCTTCAGTTTGGCACCCTCAGGGCTGCTCCTGGCCTGTCGTGGGGGCCGCGCTGCTCAGGGTGTAGGCCCGGCTGGCTGCAGCCCGTTCTCACCTGCTCCACCCCTTCCCTGGCAGCCGGGAGGAAGTCCCTGACCTACTTCCACCTCGACCCCAGGGCTGCCTTGCAGGAGGCCACCTTCGACCCGCAGGAAGTGAGGAAGATTTTCTTCGGGAGCTTCCACAAGGTCCTGGAAGGCTGCAGTTCACGCCGCTCTCCCCCGTTCCCCCAGCTCTGGGGCAGACCAGCCCCAGAGGGCCCTGCTGGATCCCTACTCCTCTCTCTAGAAGAGCAGGACCTTCCTTGGGAGGGAAGGTTGACCTAGGGCTCTGTCCCTCTACCCAGCTCTTCCATCTTAACTGGAGTCGAAGAGCTTCCCAGCCCGTCTCTTTGGGACCCACAGACCCCGGAGGCTCCTGCAGCAGGTGCCATTTGGTCCATTTTACAGAGGGGAAGCCGAGGCACAGCAAGGGGAAGCTCTCCCAGGGTCCCCTGAAACCTGAGGGGAGATCAGGCTCCTGACCCCAGGCCCCGGTGATGGGTGTTACTCCCCAGCTCTGGCCTGGCCTTGGGGGCTCAGGTGGGCACTGGCCCTGCCTGGGCTGTGGGGAACCTCCCGTGCTGTCTCGCAGGTGCACGTGGCTGTGGGCCGCTCCAAGGTCAGGCTCTATGTGGACTGCCGGAAGGTGGCTGAGCGGCCCCTCGGGGAGGTGGGCAGCGCACCCTCTGCCGGCTTCATCACGCTGGGGAGGCTGGCCAAGGCCAGGGGCCCCCGGAGCAGCTCGGCCGCGGTGAGTTGTCCTGCTGGGCCGCGCTGGTTGGGGCTGGCCACCTCTCTGAGCCCCTGGGGCTGAGCCGGCTCCCCTGCGTTGCAGTTTCAGCTCCAGACACTGCAGATCGTGTGCAGTGACACCTGGGCCGACGAGGACCGGTGCTGTGAGCTCCCTGCCTCGGTGTGCCCCGTCTCTTGCCCCTGTTCCACGAAGCAAGTTAGGGCTGGTGCCCACTGAGGGTCAGAGTGCCTGGGGTCTTGGCCTGTCCAGATTGCCACTGTGCTGGGAGAGATCAGGGAAGGCTTTCAGAGGAGGTGGCCTCAGGGCCAGAGGGTGAGCCCAGGGGGGGCTGGACGGAGAGTCCTGGAGGCCCTGGGAACCCCTGGGCTGGGAACCCCTGGCCCCACTCAGGGCCACGCCCACCTCGGTGGGCCCAGCCACATGCAGATGAGTCAGGAAGGGTCCCACAGCCAAGCCAGAGAGCCCCTCCCAGCCTCAGTGACTCCTCTGTGTACGCTGTGCTGGGCTTGGCTGTACTGGGGGCCCAGATGGGGGAGAGAGGGAGGGAGAAGGCACCACTCTGTCCTGGGCTCATGCGGACAGCCTGGCAGGGTGCGTACCCAGGGCTGGCTGCACACGCAGGGGCTTAGTGGCCTGAGCCTGGGACCTGCCCACTGTGCACTTGTGCCCCTGACCTTCACCCCTGTCTCCTAGGTGCAGGCCTGGAAGTCTCCCTGGAGCCCAGGTGTGCTTGGCTGAGCTCAGCTCTAGGATCAGGCGAGAGCTGGGGAGAGGGTCTCTCTGATGAGCAGGGTGTCTTTTCTTCCAGAGGGATGGAGAGACCTGCCCGGCCTTCGTGTCTGCCTGCTCCTGTTCCTCAGAGACCCCTGGGCCCCCAGGGCCCCAGGGACCCCCAGTGAGTCCAGTGGTGTCTCCCTGGGGTGACCGGGGAACCCTGGCCAACGTATCGCTGCCACTGGTGGATGTGGAACCCAGGCCCTCCCGCCCCAGCCCATCCCCCCGTCCTGCTGCAGAGCTGGAATGTACTTCATGAGCCTCCGCCCTGCTGCGCCCGCCCTGGGCCAGGAGACAGAGGCCTGGCCCAGCCCCTTCCTTCCCCCAGGCTGGGCCTCCCCGGCAAGCCCTCCTCTGGTGTGCAATCCAGTGTTTCTGAAGTGTCAGGCTTGGGACAGGTCCAGGTGCAGCTGGGATCCAGAACTCTGCTGTGGCTGCAGGGTGGGACGCGGGCCGGCTGTGAGTCACAGCCACTCGGACGGCCGCTGTCCTGGGTGCTGGCAGCCCAGCTCACCTGCAGCAGGAGCTGTAGAGTCCCTCTGCCCAGGCCTGGACCCCTGCCATGGGGACCTGAGAGGTCACTGGACCTGCCATGGCCGCAGCTGCCTCTGCTCACCCCAAGGTTCCAGCACCCCGCAGGTGATGGCTGGGGCTTCCAGAGCTGGCTCCCTGGGACCAGTCAAGCACACTCTGAGCGCAGTGTCTGCAGCCCTGTCTGCTCAGGGGGCCGGGGTCTGAACCTGGAATGCCTGACTGTGAGAGGGAAGGACGCGCTCGTGTGTCCTTGCCCTGGAAGCCCCTTTCCTTCCCCCTGACAGCAGTGGACAGACCAGGGCTGGGTGGGGCTAGGTGCTCAGGGTGGACCCAGCATGGGGCTGAGCGGCCGGTCTGTGCCCCTGTACCTCGGTTGGGGTGGTTCTGGGGGCTTAGCCCTGTTTGTGCCTCTGCAGGGCCTCCCTGGGAGGAACGGCACTCCGGGAGAGCAGGGCTTCCCCGGGCCCAGGGTAAGTTTTTGGTGAGTCCTGGGAGGTGGGGGGCCCTGGATCCTTCCTGCCAGAAGGGGACACCCCTCCCAGGGCGCTCTTGGGCGTGCGGGGAGCTGCATGGAGCCTCCCTCGGCAGGGCGCGGTCTCCCCAAGCTGCAGACAGGCAGGGACCCCAGCACCCCAGGGGTCCAGGGGGTTTGGACTGGCCTCTCCCGTGTGCCTGCTGGGCGCCTGGCCTGGGCCTGGTTACGGTGGAAGTCCCCTTTTCACCCAGAGAGGGAGGATGAACCCCCTGGCCCGACGGGGGAATCCGAGGCTTGGGGAGGTGAGGCCACCTGTCCTGTCAGCCCTGAAGGCCGCCCTTGATTTCTACGGGGCAGGCACGAGCCAGATGCCTTCTGTGTGCTGGGCTGGGCCCAGGAGCTTAGGCCCACAAAGTATTTTCAGATGTAGCAGCATATGCGCGGTGTGCGGGGGGGTGTTTCGGGGGTGGGGGTTCTGGTTCTGCAGAGATGGATGTTGAAGACGGTGCACCCAGCAATGACAGTAGCGCCCACCCCAGACGTGAGAGGGCTGCCCTCCGGGCTCGATTCTAAGCATTTACCTAAACCATGGTACTGCACAAGCATGACACAGATGCCAAAAGTGTGGTCAGCGTGCAGCGAGGCCGTCCTCCTTCCGACCCTGACCCCCACCTCTCTCCCGGCAGCCTTCCGGAGAGTTCCACATCCCCGTGAGCACAGACGTGAGCCTGGCTCCGGCGGGGCTGTCCTGTTGCACCTGCACTGCCTTTGTCGGCGGTTGTGCTGGAGCCTGAGTGCGCATCCCAGGCTCAGATTCCCTAGGAGAGTTGCTGGGTGGAAGGGTACACGCGGGCCCCTGTGCTTTGGGGTGGATGTCCCCACACTGGCCTCGCAGAGCCGTGCAAGGTGCTCCCCCGCGACAAGCCAGCACTGGCTTCCCACCCCCATCTTGTGTAACTGGCTGCTTCGGGAGCCATCTGATAGATGAAAATGCATTTCTCTTCCAAGCAGCGTGGACGCCCTTTGAAAGTGGCCCATGTTTTCTTGGTGAGATGTCCTCTGACTTCTCCACTGTTATTTTTCTTAATAATTGGTGGGCACGCTTTTTACTTGCTGGAACCAGCCCTGTGTCTGTGATGTGAGTTTTGACTGCGTTTGGCATTTTCTTGTCTTTTGACCTTGTTGGCGATGTGCGTTTCCATATAGAGTTTAAAATAACTTTCACGTAGTCCGTGTTAGTGCTCTGTTCTATGGTTTCTGAATTCTGTATCCTGTTTTAAAGGGTCTTCCTTACTCCGAGAGTAGAGAGCGCCTCCTCCTGGTTGCTCCTGGTGCTTGCAGGCCCTTTTCAGTACTCCAGGTGGATTCCCCTGGAGCTGATTTTGTTACAACGCTGGGGAGGACGGAGGACGGGGAGGACTCCAGCTTCACCTCTTCACAGACCACCCGTGGTCGCCTGAGTCCTTCATTACACAGCCAGCCCCTCGTGGAAGTTAGACGCTGTGGCTCTCGTGATGTCCCAAGGCCCCTGTGTGTTTTGGGGGTTTTCAGGCGCTCCAAATCCGTCCCGTTGATTTGTCTGCTGTTCACATGCAAGGGCAGTGCTTCTTAAATTACTATAGATTTCTTTAAAATTTTCATGCCAGGCGGGCTGGTCCTCTTTTGTATTCCCCAGAATTTTTTTCCTGGCTCTCTTTGCTTATTTCATTGTTCAGTGAACTGTAGAATCGACTTATCCATTTAACCTCAACAATTCAGTTGGTGTTTTCATTGGGACCGCATTCGCTTTATAGACATACTCGGGAACAGATTACGTTTTTATGGTATTGAATCTTCTCGTCCAAAAACACGGCCATCCTGCCGTCGGTTCACAGGGCCTTTTGTGGCCCTCAGTACAGCGCGGGGACAGTCTCTTCCTACAGACCCGCTCGGTTCTCCTTCGTCCCTACATAGTTCCTTTTTGTTGCTGTTATAAGTTAGGTCTTTTCTCTCATTACGGCTTCTACTTCATTATTTTCACACAGGTTTCTTTCTCAATTATCTTCTTCTTCTTCTTTTTTTTTTTTTTTTTTTGAGACAGAGTCTTGCTCTGTCGCCCAGGCTGGAGTGCTGTGACACAATCTTGGCTCACTGCAAGCTCCGCCTCCTGGGTTCACACCATTCTCCTGCCTCAGCCTTCAGAGTAGCTGGGACTACAGGCGCCGCCACCACACCCGGCTAATGTTTTGTACTTTTTTTTTTTAGTAGAGATGGGGTTTCACCGTGTTAGCCAGGATGGTCTTGATCTCCTAACCTCGTGATCCGCCCGCCTCGGCCTCCCAAAGTGCTGGGATTACAGGCGTGAGCCACTGCACCCGGCCTCAGTTATCTTCTTTATGATTTTCTTGGGTGTTCCAGATTTATAGTGACATCACCTGCAAAGAACACTTCACCTTCGGCTTTTCAGTCTTGATCAGTCGAATTTCTTTTTCTTATCTAATGGTGTTGGTGAATACTCCAGAATTTTGTCAGAAAGCCATGATGGTAGCAGATATTCTCATTTTCTTCTTGGCTTAACAAAAGTGCTTCTAGCATTTGACCATTAAAATGCTGTCCTGGAAGTGGAGACAGGTGCATTTTGTCATGTGGTAGTGAAGTCCATCTACTCTTATTTTATTCGATTTAAAACATCAAGAATGTGCATTAAACAAGCTCTAGTGCTGTTATGGACATAATGAAATGACTGTGCCTTTTGAGCTATTAATTGTAGGATATCCCTCAATACTGGATGATTCGTGCATCCGTCGAAAACCTGACACGGTCGCTGAATTCTCGTTATCCATGTCATGTGCTGCAGAGTTCAGCCTGCTGACATTTTGTTTTGGATTTTGCATTGATGCTTATAAATAAGACTGTCGCAGTTTTCTTTATAGTGTTTGGAACCTCAGTTTGCTTTGTTCAAAAGATAATTTGAGTTTAAATAGCAGCAGTGTGTGCCCCACAGGGCTGGATTTCCTGTAAAACCTGAGTCTATTGTTTTGGGGTCCAGGGCTTAAGAAAGTCTTCTGTGTCTTCCTTACAGTTGGCCTGTGGGGGGTCTCTGGCTTTCCCTCAGTGATTTCTGCAACGCCCCCCACACCCCTGTTGGAACCCAGAGTTGGGCAGGGGAGGGCTGGGGGTGGGGTTGGTTGGAACTGGCTTCACAGGCTTGGCTTGGCCGTTCTCTGGCGCTGCAGACCCCTACTGTGGGTGCTCCCAGACCCTCCCAGGGTGGGCAGTGAGGGTGCTGGGGCTGCCCCTGCCTCTTTAATGGAGATGTCTCCATGTGGGCCTGGGCCTGAATGCCCAGAGGGCCGGGAGGGCTGGCTGTGACCCAGAGGGGCCACAGGAGGGGCAGCCAGCGTGACCTTTTCAGGCCCTCCCCACTGCCTGTGTCTCCAGGGAGAGCCCGGGCCACCTGGACAGATGGGACCAGAAGGTCCTGGAGGCCAGCAGGGGTCACCGGGGACCCAAGGCCGCGCAGTCCCGGGGCCTGTGGTAAGTGTCACCCATTCCCCGCCCTCCTGCCCTGTGCCCCCTCTACTTCACTGTCCAGCCCGTCATCCCCCTCCAGGGTCCACCAGGGGTCAAAGGAGAGAAAGGAGACCATGGGCTCCCAGGCTTGCAGGTAGTGTGGCTGGGGCCAGGGGCCACAGGGGTTGGTGCGGCGGGGGAGGGGGGAAGTACAGGGATGGAGATGGGGAGTGCATGGGGGACACAGGGGTCGGGGGGTGAGGCCTCACAGGCAGGGCCACCTCTTTTGGATGTGACCTTGGCCCCTGCCTGGCTGGCTCCTCTGTTCTATCCCAGGGCCACCCCGGCCACCAGGGCATCCCCGGGAGAGTTGGCCTCCAGGGACCAAAGGTGCTGACTCTGGGCTTGGAGGGTTCTGTCAGGGTGGTAGAGACTGGCCTGTGGTGGGGGGGGTGACTTGGAGATGGAGGCTGTGGGGTAGGGAGAGGGAGGTGCTTCCTCCTGGGCTCCTGCTTCACCCACTGCACCACCCCCTTCAGCCTGTGGCCTGGCCAGAAGGCAGGAGAGCTCCAGCCCACCCCAGGCAGGAGCTGTCACTGAGGTGGGGTCAGGTGGGGGGTGGCTAAGTAGGAGCCTGGCAGCCTCAGCTGCCTCACCTTTGCTGCTTGGGTTACAGGGTGTATTGGGTGCTGCTGGGGGCTGTCACCATGGGAGGGCTGGGTACAGGTACAAACCCCACCCAGCTTGCGCCTTCCTATGCCATCAGGGAATGAGAGGCCTGGAGGGAACTGCTGGCCTGCCGGGACCCCCTGGCCCCAGGGTAGGCACCAACCTCCCATGACCCCCACCCCCACCCAGGGCTCCTATGTTCCAGGGTCCAGGCAGAGGCTAGTCTGAACACCAGCTGTCACCCCTAGGTCACCCCAGGAAGTGGCCTGGGAGGGCCTCACTTCTGCTAGAACTTTCTGCAGGGCCCTGTGGGTGGGTGAGCGTCTGCCCAAGAGCACTACATGCCCCCAAGTGAGGGCTCTGTGCTGAAGACTCAGTTCCTGGGAGACCTTGATGGGGGGGTCTCCTGGCATTGGCCTCAGGCTGAGTGCTGCAGGCCAAGTTGCCTCCCCGTAAGCACCACTTTGGGGGAAGCCTAACTTGCAGTCACACTGGGGCAGCTGGAACAGCTAGGGACATTTAGAGCAGCGTGGGTGCTGATAGCACTGGAGGAGGAGCACAGGGCATGGGGAGCCAGGGCCTGGAGGCAGGGGAGTCACCGCCTGCCAGAGGAATGGCCTGAGGGAGGCTGGGGCCAGCTGGGGGTCCACTGCCCTTGTCAGGTCAGGGGGGCCCTGGGACGTCCGGGAACCAGGGCTGAAGTGGGAACAGATTTGCTGGGGGCCTAAACCAAACCCTGACTTCTGTGTCTCTGCAGGGGTTCCAGGGCATGGCAGGGGCCAGGGGCACTGGTGGAGAGCGAGGACCCCCAGGGGCTGTGGGGCCCACAGTAAGTTCACTTCCAACACCCACCAGCCAGTCAAAGGTGGGGGAGGGAAGGGTGCAAGCCCCATATTCTCAGGGACTTCCTACTGACCACCCAGGGACTTCCTGTTGACAGCCCATGGACTTCCTGTTGACCACCTAGGGACTTCCTGTTGACTGCCAGGGACTTCCTGTTTACCACTCAGGGACTTCCTATTGGTGGCCCAGGGACTTCCTGTTGACCACTCAGAGACTTCCTGTTGACCACCCAGGGACTTCCTATTGACAGCCCAGGGACTTCCTGTTGACCACTCAGAGACTTCCTGTTGATCACTCAGGGACTTCCTGTTGACCGCTCAGGGACTTCCCATTTGTTATTGGAGGCCTGTTCTGAGCTGGGAGCTTGTTGTTGGTGCTAGTGCAAGAGAGTAGAGCCAGGGGCTGGTTCTGCACCTCCCCCAACCCCACCCAGGACAGACCTGGTGGAGGGGAGGTGGTGGGGCGGCAGGCTCCGTGGAGGCACCGCCATCCCCCGTAGGGGGACAGACGTGGGAGATGGGGGTGTAGTATCCCCTGGGGGATGCCTTGACTTTCAGCAGCTCCATGGGCCCCTGCTTAGGTGGGCTCCAGGTTCCCCAAGGAGCTGGAGAGGTGGAAGAAGAGATGGCAAGGAAGCACTGGCACAGGCCTGGCCTGGGCCCGGGAAGGGTCTGTTCTCTGGGCAGTGTCCCACACCTGCCATCTCCCCTAGCACAAAAATCTACAGCCAGAGGCAAGTCCTTTGTGGCACAAGTTCCAGGACTCTGCTGTAGAACCAAGCTCCTCACATGCCTGCTCTAGGGTGCAGGCAAGGACCACAGGCTCCTAGGATCTGGGAATTTGGGATTGGGCTTTGGCTCTGCCTGCCCTGTGGGGTCACACTGCCACTGTGGCTATCAGGCTGCCCAAGCCATGATCCACCCCAGGGCCATCTCGCACTTCTCATGTGTGGTCTCAGGCCATCCCTGCTGACTTCTTTTCTCTTCTCCTCATCAGGGGCTGCCGGGGCCCAAAGGGGAACGAGGAGAGAAGGTGAGTGAGACTGAGAGTCTTTGGCTCAGCTCGGGATCACCTGGGAAGGCACCAGCCACACGGGTCCCAAAGCTGCACCACCTTCCCTTCCAGGGCGAGCCGCAGTCCCTCGCCACCCTCTACCAGCTTGTGAGCCAGGCCTGTGAGTCCGCCATCCAGAGTGAGTGAAGCCAGTAGCCCTGCACCTGTGCCCAGCACACCTGTCTGTCCTCACAGTGGCCAGGCCGAGGGAGGCCGCCTTTACCCACCGTTAGCACACCTGGGTATCCTGGCATGGCCTGCCCAGGCCTCGCATCCCCTGGCTCCCACTGCATCCCGCTGCCACCCTTCCTTCCCACAGCACACGTGTCAAAGTTTGACTCCTTCCACGAGAACACCAGGCCCCCAATGCCCATCTTGGAGCAGAAGCTGGAGCCGGGCACTGAGCCCCTGGGGTCCCCTGGCGCCCGCAGCAAGGCCCTGCTTCCTGGAGAATGGAGGCAGGGTAGCCACCACCTAGAGGGCAGAGGTACTGGGCTCCTGGCTCTTGGGGAGGGAGTTGTGGCCAGCGGGGAGCCGGTTGTCCCTTGGTCCTGGGGCTGGAGCATCGATCTGTGTCAGCACAGCAGCCCCTGCTGGAGACACCACTGTCCAGCCTCTGGGGTGCGGTGGCGAGGACACAGGGCTTCCCTGAGCCCAGACAAAGCCAGTCATGACGCAGAGGTCAGCCTTGGCCTGGCCTTCCAAGGCCCTCAAGGTGACCCCTTCCCCAATCTTCAGGAAACAATCTTCAGGAAACAGGAGCTGCCTGCTTAGGGCCACCCAGGAGGGCCCAGCCTACCTTCCATCCTCCCTCCCTCCCTCCCTCCCTCCCTCCTGCCCTCGCGTCCTCCCCGTCCCCCCTCTCCCGCCCTCTCATCCTCCTGGCTACTGCTTCCCCCGCCTCTCCCCACCCAGCACGGAGCCGCAGGCTCCCGTGACCTTGGTGCTCCTCCTCCTCTGAGGTGGCAGCGGTGGGTCATGACTTGGATGCTGAGATGGAGGAAAGGCTGATTTGGGAGCTGGAGCTGGAGAGGGGCGTCCATGGGGAGGACAGACAGGGAGATGACCCAGCCAGATGAGGATTGAGTTCTGCACTGGCCGAGGCAGCAGCAGCTAGACAAGGGTGACAGGCACTGTCACAGGGCCCCCAGCTGACACCTCCCCACCTGGCCATGCCCCCTCAAACCTGTCATGGAGCCCAAGGGGCACCTGTGTGGGGCACAGGGACCTGGCACGCTGCTGTCCCCCAGATCTCAGCCTCCATCTGAGGACCAGACCTGCTGCCTGCACCCAGGGAGGGGCCCTGACACCCTCTGTCCCCGTCAGAACAGGGCCTCAAGCCACTGCATTGCTCCATCCTCATATACCCTCCCTTTCCTTGCAGGGGAGCCTGGAGCTGTTGGTCAGACGGGCAGCCCTGGGCAGCAGGGGGGCTAGCACCCAGGGCCTCTGGGAGCGACAGGTGAGCCCCTGCTGCCTGCACCTGCCAGGGCTGAGGGCATCCAGGAAGGAGGAATTCCTGAGGGGCTGACGGGTGGGGCCTTGTGCTATCCAGGGTGGGGTGCTGCGAGCACAAGGCCCAGCACAGGCAGGTGAGGTGGCCCTGGGGAAAGTAGGGTCAACTGTGGACCCCATAGGGGCAACAGGAATGTGGGATCACAGGCTGTGGGGCCGCAGGGCGTGGGGTCCTGGAGACGGATTGGCATGCCGGGAGCCTGCTCGACCTCGTGGGCTGCAGAGTTGCATGCTGGGATGGAGGACGCCCTGACCAGGGTATAGTGCAGCAGGGAGAGTGGAGCTCAGGTGTTTGCTCAGTGGGCACCTGGTCCAGTTGTGGGAAAGCTCACAGGAGTCCCAGGAGGGGCCTGTGAGGCCCCGGGTATGTCGATGAGAGAGGCAGGGTGGGGGCTGTGGTGGCCCCAGGTAACCTCTGCCTTCCTCAGGAAGCGCTGGGCAGGTAGCCCCTGTGTGCAAACTTAGCTGAGGGGCTGGTCCCAGGAGCAGGTGTGGGGACAGGGTGCAGGTGGGTACAGCACAACTCCGGCCTCAAGTAGCTTCAGGGGCCAGAGTGTGGCACGGGTGTGTGACCTGGGCCCGTGAGGGGCCGGTGCCTTTGAGCGAGGGGACTCGGCAGGGGCTAGGAGGGCCAAGGAGCACAGGCAGGAGACTCGGGGGCTCCTGGCCAAGCTGGGGCAAGAGGGCAGCTGCCCGAGATGCCTGAGTCAGGACAGAGCCCAGGACTAAGGACAAGCAACCTTGCTTCTCCTCCACAGACCCATCAGAGAATGACCCTACCCAAGCCCTGCCCACAATCCTGCCCACCCACGGCCCTGCTGGACACAGCGTGTGGAAACCCAGGCACTGGCCCTGAGCCTGTGTCCACCTGTCTTCAGCCTTTCAGATCTGTCCGCCCTTCTCTCCTGCCAGGACATTTTCTGCACTGTCCCGAGGAACCCTGTGCCTTCCTCCCTGGGTTTGTCTGGAAACCAAGAGCGACCACATCCTGGAAAAGCCAGGAGAAAAGCTCAGGAAGTGCCTGCAGGTGGAAGGAGAGGGAAGGAGCAGCCTTGGCCAAGGCCCACCCCACGCCCTTGGCTCTGTAGCATTTCCAAGTTCAGATAAACCACCGAGTGCTCACCCACCCAAGCGAGGCGGGAGTCATTTCCCTGGAGGGTGTCCCCCACCCTGGCTCCGTGCACCCCACCTTGAGGCCCTGCAGCTCCAGCTGCAGTGGAGAAGGGGAGGGGCTGGGCTGATGGTAAATCGGGTCCAGGAGGGCAGTGGTGCCCCATGGCCGTCTCACTAGCTCTCACACAGGCTCACCAGCATGCCCTGCCCCTTTCTCTGGGCCTCATCAAAGCCTGGCCGAGGCCCTGCAGACCCTCCTCACTCTGCACCTCACGCAGGGAACAGATAGCTCCACTGCTGTCCCACTGGTCACCTGCACGGTGGCTCCTGCCTCAGAACAGCACTCCCACCCTGACCCCAGCACCTTTGCATCTGGGAACAGGCAGGGTCCTGCCTGCCTCATTGTCCCCTCTGTCTCCAGCTCAAGAGGGAGTTCAGATCCTGTGTGTGAGTGGCCACCCCTCACACACCCAGCCCTGTGCTAAGTTCCTTGTGCAGGGCCATTGCTTTGAGACTTGGCACCATCAGCCCTGGTCCTTGGGGTCTCAGAGCAAGGTCATCCCTCAGCAGGCTTCTGACCTGCGTGCTCCTCAGCACTTCTGCCCAGGTCTCTCCCAACCATCACAGACACTATGAGCTGGACTTCCTGCCTTATCTCCACTGTGTTGCAAACAGCATGAGGGCAAGCTCAGAACACACACCTGGGCTTCTGGGCCTTGTGGCCTGTGGAGGTGATGTGGGAACTTCTACTTCCTTCCCAAATAAATATTCAGTAACTAGTCCACTATTACCACTTAGGCAGCTAAGCAAGATAGGTGCCAGAAATGAAGAAGGAACCCATATCATTGAGGAGAGAATGAAAAGTATTAAAAAGGAACAGAGAGAGACCCTTGATATTGACAGAAGGAAAACCCACCAAGATCCCTAGTGCAGCACTGCATGCACCAAAGCATACCCCAAAGAGGTGAGTGCAAAACAGCTTCAGGGCAAACACTTCGTCTGTGATTCAACCGTTCCAGGAACTGACCAGACCTGGAGACCAAATGGAGAGTGATAGGGTCAGCAGGATGGGAGAGAGTGCCTGCACCCACAGGAGCTGCAGCCCTGACTGAGGCCAGGAAGCACCCCCAAATGCCAGCTCCCACGGCAGCATGAGGACAGAAACAGACCACTGAGAATTCCCAAGGTTTGTGGACAAGTCAGAGGTCAAAGAAGTCAGGTGCCGTCAATACAGATTTTGCCCTGAGGGACCAGGAGAGCATGTGGCCAAAGTAGGTGCAGGTAAAGCAGCATCTGGGGAAGAGTCATAGCCTTCAGTGCAGGTATCAGACACAGTTGTTGAGAGCAGCAGCCCAAGCCAGCCCCTCCGTCCTGCAGGGAGGACACCTAGGTCATTTGACTTCTGCTGGGGAGCTGAGTTGCTTCAGATTGTGTGACCAGTGACACAGCTTGGTTGCACTCACTTGGTTTCTCTAGGGCTGGGAATTAAATGTCTCCTGCTGAACTGAGAAGGCTTTTTGAGCAGTGGAGTGAGCAGGCTTTGTCATGAGGCAGGAGTGGGGCTAGAATCAAGCCCAGAGCCCACAGGGCATCCAGAGCCTTCCAAAGGAGCCCCTCACCTGGGCTCTCCAATTTGAAGGGACTGGGCACTGGGTGGCTCATGGAGACCACACTGGCAGCCAGGAGGAGGCAGCCTGGAGGGGAGGAACCAGGGTCACTCCAATCCCACCAACCTCTCAGCTGCCCTACCCTCACCACCCTGCTGACGCCAGTGACGAGGCTCAGCCTCAAAATGGGAGTCCGGGTGCCTTCAGGAAACTGAGTTCATGCTGGAGGCCAATTAAAATGGCACAGCAAAGGCAGCGGCCAGCTGGTGCCCAGGCAGCTTAGGGACTGGTTCCTGAGGCCCCACCCACCCCAGCCTGTGCAGTGAAGCTGAGTACGAATCAAAGGTGAGGATGGGCAAGGGAACTGAGAGCAGCCCCCGGATGCAACGCACCGGCCTGGCTCCTCTGTTTACAGGAAGGCAGCCTCCCCGAGACCCAGCCGACCTGCGCATCTCCCGTCAACCCCGACTCCACCGCATCCCTCCGGGTTTTTAGGAGCCCCCGGGGACTGAGCTGAGGCTCACGCTCCTGGCCAGAGTGCTGGGTTCCTGGCAGTGTCTCCCTGGCTCCCTTCACGGCCACAGCTCTCCTCTCCAGAGGCCCCTCTGTAGTGGGCCTCAGTTCCCTCCCCACCCCCAGAGGCAGCACAGCTTCAGCCCTCTGCAGTGTGGGGGCTCCAGGAGGAAATGCAGGGAGGGGCTCGGTCTTGGCCTGGAGCTCATGGCCTGAGGCGCTGCCCCGTGTCACCCCCATGCCCGTGCAGTCCCAGATGTTCAGCTGAGGCCACGAAGGTGGTGCGATGCGAGGCTGATCTGACGCTAAGCTCAGGCCCCTGAGGTCATGGGGGTTGGGAGGTCTTGGAGTCTCAGGGCTCATGCTGGCGCCACAGGGTGGTGTGGTCGTGTGGCCTGTAAGGGGCCCTGCAGCCATGCGTATCTGACTTGCCTCCCAGGTCTGCAGGCAGTGCCAAGTGACTCTGCCTGAGGCCCCAAAAGCACAAAAGCAACCCTGGAAGCTCCAGGCCTTCACAGCCCCCCCCCCCCCCCCCGAGAGCCACCTGCAAGGTGGGGAGCTGGGAAGAACGGCTCAGTGATGAGCTCGGAGGGAGGGGTGGGCACAGCCCTCAGGAAGGCAGGTGGGTGCAGGCCTGGGAGGAATGTGTAGCAGGAGGCAGGGGGTGCTGTGCCCACAGGACCACCAGGTGAGGCATGGCCACCCGCAGAGGATGGCTCTGGCCCAGGCAGTGTCAGAAACAGGAGCTGAGGAAACCCAACCCCAATTGTAGAGGAGGCTGCCCTGATGCCGTCTGCACCTGGGGGGTGATGTATGGCTGCCAGCCCCTTCACCTACCAAGGACCAGGGCAATGGCGACGGGAGAGTGGGGACACGTGGACCCACACATGCACACACACCAGGGCAGATGGTGGGGGAAGCCAGTGTCTGAAGATTCAGTTCATTTCTTGGGGAAGGGCGTGGAACATTTGAACTTGAGCCAGAGCCCAGAGGTTTCATAATACAGCCCACCGTCGTGATCTGATGGTGAGCACAGAACTCCATGCCCAGTGGAGAAACACTGTCCTCTCACACGTATGGAATATCCGCACACTAACCATGAACTCGGCTACAAAGAAACCTTACATTCCAAAGGACCATGCGGTTGAGAACTCACTCACTGACTGATGAAACTGGAAAAACAACCAACAATAACAAGCTAAACAATGCCTCTAGAAGCTAAAAGACGAACCCATGACTCCACAATAATTCATGGGTTAAAGAGAAAAAAGGAAACGTGAAGATACTTGTAACCACATAAAGATGGATGCAGCACCATGTCAGAATCTCTGTGCTGCAGCTAAAGTGGTACCTAGAGGGCAATTTATAGCCGTAAATACAGTGCTTTGTTTTGTGTTTTGTTTTTTGAGACAAGGTCTTGCTCTGTCACCCAGGCTGGAGTACACTGACATGATCTCGGCTCACTGCAACCTCTGTGCCACCCTGGGCTCAAGTGGTCCTCCCACCTAGGTCTTCTGAGTAGCAGAAACCACAGGCGTGCACCACGATGCATGGCTAATGTTTTTTGTATTTTTAAAATAGAGACAGGGTTTTGCTGTGTTACCCAGGCTGGTCTTGAACTTCTGAACTCAAACAATCCACCCTCCGTGGCCTCCCGAAGTGTTAGGATTGCAGGTGTGAGTCACCGCGCCCGGCCCTTAAACACTTTTTTTTTTGAGACAGAGTCTTGCTCTGTCGCCAGGGCTGGAGTGCAGTGGCCAGGTCTCAGCTCACTGCAAGCTCCGCCTCCCAGGTTTACGCCATTCTCCTGCCTCAGCCTCCCGTGTAGCTGGGACTACAGGCGCCCGCCACCTCGCCCAGCTAGTTTTTTGTATTTTTTAGTAGAGACGGGGTTTCACCGTGTTAGCCAGGATGGTCTCGGCCTCCCAAAGTGCTGGGATTACAGGCTTGAGCCACCGCGCCCGGCCCTAAACACAGTTTTTAGGGAAGATTCCAACTCAAACGATTTTAAATAGTAGAAAATAAACCCTGAAGGAGCATGCATTCATTAGTACTGTGTTTTGCTGTATTTAATTAAAACCTGATTGCCATTCCCTAAATCTGTTTTTGCCATCACATGTAAAGTCCTGTGGGCAGGAGTGGACACTGAGAGAATCCCAAGCTGTTTGGCCGTCCTTGGCACATAGCTGGTCTTCATCAGAAGATGGCTGCTGCTGCTCCAGGAGTTACACCTCACTGGGGCGAAGGGGCGGGGGTCATACTGGGTGAAGAGCAACAGCGTTAATAGGAGTCCCGCTTGGAGACTTCTGCTTGTACCTAATGACAAAGACTGCAACTCTCCTTGTCCAGAAAACAGACGTTTTAGCTGAACACACCACCACCTCCCACAAAGTGGTTAAATGCATCATGTAGGGCTCGATGTGGCTTCAAGTAACAACAACAACAGGGTAAGAGTGACTCTCACAGCGTGGAAGTGACCCTGTCAGAGGCACGGGGAGGCCCTTTCCCTCGGCTGGCTCTGCATCCTCCACACAGGACACTGCCCTGGTCTCCGCTGCTGGGTCACCTTCCAGCAACAGGAAGAGAGGGGAGAAGAGCTGGCCTGGAATCGGGTCGTATTCCAACAACAGGAAGAGAAGGGAGAAGGGCTGGCTCGGAACCTTGAAGGGCACATTCCAAAGGTGTCCTTGCCACTGTCAGCTACATCCCCGTGGCCAGATGTCGTCCCACAGCCAGGCGGAGCTGCAAGAGTAGAGCCTTTTCTGGCTCCTCCCTGAGGCAGGAGGGGAAAGGGAGGGTGGGGCCAGCCGTGGGCCAGCCACAGGGAGGAAGGCGGCCCCCATGTCCCCCAGGGCTCAGTGAAGTGCACCTGGCCTGAGAAACGAGAGGGCCACCACAGCGCTGGGGCAAAGAGGACAAAACCACAGATGAAGAGGCTGAAAACCAGAGCCCTCTGACCCATTTTACGCCAACAGATCTGCAGGCCCAGGTGAAATGGGCGTTCAGACATCCGCATTTCCAGAAGAGTCACCACAAAGACTCCTGGAAACAAGATGGCCACTAACAGAGGTTCCTGCCCAGCGAGACACCAGGACTGGGGAGGGAGCCCAGCAAATCCAGGATCTGAATACAGAAGCTGAGAAACCCTGAGGATGACTCAGGCCACCCTTTGTGTGCACATGTGTGCGTGTGTCCGCGTGCCTGCATGCCCGTGTGTGTGACAGTAGCCCACAAGAAACCATTACATGACGGTGGACTGTCTCCTCCCCAAATCCGTACACACACACACGAGGCATGCATTTGCAAACACCCGTACGCACACGTACTCACACATTCGTGCACGCACAGCGCTGTTATCCATGTTGAGGGGACGTATTCACAAGGGAAAGTGAGGTATCCGAGATCAAAAGCATTGGGAGAGACAAAACAGAGAATCTGTACCAGGCAGAGAAGAATTCATGTTTGTTCTCTTTGGCCTATTTTTAAAAATTGTAATCTCTTAAAGAGGCAAGGAGGGATATCAGTAACATGACACCAGAATTACAGGTATAAAGGAAAACCAACTAGGAATATGATGTGTATAAAACAAACGAGAAATTTTAAAAGCGGAGCTGTAAGATCAGGTCTGAGACGCCTCCCGGGAGGCTTTGGGAAAAGATAAAAAGGAAACAGAACATGTGTTAGCACCCACACGACGGGGGCTCTACGAGGAAAGAAACAGCAAGAAGTGGGGAATGGTGAACATAACTGGGTTTTCTGCAGATTTGTGCATTAGAGAAAGATTTAAGATCTCAGATTTAAAGGGCTCAGAATGTCAAATGGAGTGAGTTTTTAAATGTACCCTTAGGTTCCTCAATGCCATATATAATGCAATACATAATGATGATGGAGAAAAAAATTCTTTTAAAAATCTTTAGTACATATACTAAAATTGGAACGCTACAGAGAAGATTAACATGGCCCCTGTGCTGGGATGACACACAGTCAAAAGAAAAAAAAAAAATAGAAAAATCTTTCCAGGGAAAACCTGCAGCCCAGACTACAGAAGAACCAGGGGCCAGAGAGGAGATGCTGGGACGGTGGCTCCACAGGGTTCAAGAAAACATGCTCGCATTTCATATCCAGAGAATTATCACTTAAATGAAGGAGACAAAAATACATTCTGCATCCCAGAGCGTCAGAAGGAGTCAAACACAAGATCTTCTCTGAAAATACCACTGGAGGAAGTATTCTGCAAAAAAGGGAAAATGATCAGAAATTATACCAGATACCTGGGAAAATCCCACAGTCAGTGTAAAACTTAGTAAAGTTCACTATGGACCAAATAATGAAGCCCTTCATCCCAGACAAATTGTGTCTGTGGCAATCCAGAGCTGAAATTCTAGGTTATTCCCGTGCGTCTGGCGTGTGGGAGGCCACAATTCCTGAAGGCACGCTGGGGTACTTGTCTTCTTTGGAGGTGGGAGGCATTCTTCAGATCAATATACTGAGCTCTTGAAAACATAAATGCGCCGGGCGCGGTGGCTCAAGCCTGTAATCCAGCACTTTGGGAGGCCGAGATGGGTGGATCACAAGGTCAGGAGATCGAGACCATCCTGGCTAACACGGCGAAACCCCGTCTCTACTAAAAAATACAAAAAAAAAACTAGCCGGGCGAGGTGGCGGGCGCCTGTAGTCCCAGCTACTTGGGAGGCTGAGGCAGGAGAACGGCGTGAACCCGGGAGGCGGAGCTTGCAGTGAGCTGAGATCCGGCCACTGCACTCCAGTTTGGGTGACAGAGCAAGACTCCGTCTCAAAAAAAAATAAAAAAAATTAAAAAAAAAATAATTAATAAATGCTTGTTTTGAGTTAGGAGCAGTCACCAGGGAATGTGTAGCTTCCAGAGCAGTTGACTATACCAGTTTTCTCCCACAGAAGGGATGGAACGTATTTCCACAACAACAACAACAAACCACAGAGATGGCCTAAATATATCCCGCTGTAGTAGAAATTGCAATACCTCTCGCTGATCGAAGGATGAATTCTCCAGATAGCATTTAAAGACGACATGCAGCTTTCTGCTTCCAGCCATGGTAGAGCCGTCCTGGGCCAGTAACAGCCGCAGAGCTGGGCAACATGCTCGCGACACTGTCTCCAGCCACTTCCATGGGAACGGAGACCAGACAGTGAGCCTCCACCCTTATCTCACGCCAGACACAACAGTTAGTTCAAAGACTCTCACCTAAACACCAAAGCCAAAACTATACTTTCCAGAAGGAAAAAGCGGAAGATCACGTTTATGGCCTTGGAGTGGGCAAAGGCTTCTCAAACAGGACACACGAAGCACTAACCGTTAAAAGAAACAGAAGGAAAAAATTTTGTCAAAATTCAAAGCTTTTCTTCAAAAGGCAGCATTAAGAAAATGAGGGCTGTCAGAGGCAGAGAGGACATACTCTGACCACAAGTCCTGGACGGAGGTTTTATATCCAGAATGTACACAAAACTCGTACAACTCACTAAAAGCAGACAATCTGATAAAACAATGGGCAAAATATTTCAACAGATCCTTCACAAAAAGAAGACATACGAGTGGCTTGTGAGCACCTAAAATGATCAACATCACCGTCATCAGGGAGGCACATATGAAAATCACACTCACTGCATACAGCTAAGACACTGGGTGCTGGTGAGGACGTCGGGGCGTGTGGATGCTCCAGCCACCCTGGAAAACAACGTGGGGGCCCCTTAGAAAGAGCGAGTATAGGCCGGGTGCGGTGGCTCACGCCTGTAATCCCGGCACTTTGGGAGGCCAAGGCGGGTGGATCACCTGAGGTCAAGAGATTGAGACCATCCTGGCTAACATGTTGAAACCCCGTCGCTACTAAAAATACAAAAAATTAGCTGGGCATGGTGGCATGCACCCATAGTCCCAGCTACTCAGGAGGCTGAGGCAGGAAAATCGCTTGAACCCAGGAGGCGGAGGTTGCAGTGAGCTGAGATCGCACCATTGCACTCCAGCCTGGCGTCAGAGCGAGACTCCATCTAAAAACAAACAAAATCAGAAAAGTACAACTATCCTATGCCCCCAGCAATTCTACTAGGTATTTGCCCCAAAGAAATGAAAGCAGGTGTCTGCACGAAGCCTGCACTTGAATGTTCACAGTCACTTTAATCAGAGCAGGTCCAGACTGGAAACAATCCACATGTCCATCGATCACTCAACTAATTGCAGCAAATCCATAAAGATGAGTGAATTAGGTCATACCCATACAGATGAATGAATTACATCATATCCACAAAGACAAGTGAGTTACATCATATCCACACAGATGAATGAATTACGTCATATCCACAAAGATGAGTGAGTTACATCATACCCATAAAGATGAGTGAATTACATCATATCCACACAGATGAATGAATTATGTCATATCCACACAGATGAATGAATTACATCATATCCACACAGATGAATGAATTGCATCATATCCACACAGATGAATGAATTACGTCATATCCACACAGATGAATGAATTGCATCATATCTACATGGATGAATGAATTACATCATAACCACATGGATGAATGACTTACATCATATCCACGCGGATGAATCACGCAGCGGATGATGGTGCACGTCACATCCACGCAATTGAATGAATTATGTCATATCCACAAGGTGAGCAATTCGTCATATCCACGCAGATGAATGAATTAAATCATATCACAAGGAGATAGTGAATTACATGCCACTCCCACACAGATGAATGAATTACATCATATCTACATGGATGGTGAATTATGTCATAACCACATGGATGAATGACTTGCATCGTGTCACGCGGGATGAATGAATTGCATGTCCTTATCCACGCGGAGGAGTGAATTACGTCACATCCACGCAATTGAATGAATTATGTCATATCACAAGGTGAGCGAATTCGTCATATCCACGCAGATGAGCAATTCACATCATATCCACGCCCAGACGAATGAATTACATCATATCCACACACGGGTAGTTACATCCCATATCCACACAGATGAATGAATTCACGTCATACCCACAAAAGATAGGTAATTCACGTCATATCCACACAGATGAATGAATTACATCATATCCACCAAAGATGGGCAATTCGTCATATCCCATGAGCGAATGAATTATATCCACACACACGAGTAGATTACATCACCATCCACACGGATGAATGAATTCGTCATACCCACAAAAGATGGGTGAATTACGTCATATCCACACAGATGGATGAATTACATCATATCCACAAAGATGAGCAAAAATTCGTCATATCCATGGACAGATAGATTACATCATATCCACACACACGAGTGAATTACATCATATTCACACAGATGAATGAATCACACAGATGAATGAATTACGTCATACCCACAAAGATGAATGAATTATGTCATATCCACAAAGATGAGTGAATTACATCATATCCACACAGATGAAAGAATTACGTCATATCCACACAGATGAATGAATTACATCATATCCATAAAGATGAGTGAATTACGTCCATTCAGCAACTTGGGTGAATACCCGAAGGACTAAGCTCTGATTTCTTATCTTGCCCAAATTCCTATCAAAGGGGTCTGGGGGACATGCCCTACAAACCATCCGTTCTCACCAGATGTGCTTTATTTGACCCTATATATTGTGACTGACTTTCCAGTCTCACTCTGGTGTAACATTATGAGACAAGGAAGAAAAAAACATTTTACGCCAAAATACATTTCCTTGCCATACCTTGAAATTGCCCTGCAAAGTCTCTTGTGGGAGAAACCCACATTCTATAGAGAATCCCCTTCCCCTTTGTTTTCCTTCCTTTCCAGATCCAGGACATAATCAACTAAGCGCCAGGCACCCTTTTAGGTCCAATAAGAAACATTTCACAATCTGCTATCTCTGAAGTCTGCTGTCTAAGAGCTTCCTCTGCACCAGTCAAACGTGGTCTCCACAATCCTTTATCTCAACCTGAACATTCCTTTCCATTGATCCCAGGTCTTCAGATAAACTCAACCAGTTGTCAACCAGAAAATGTTTGAATTCACTGTGAATTGTCCCACCTTTCTGAACCAAACCAATGTATTTCTTAAATGTATTGATTGATGTCTCCTGCCTCCTGAAAATAGATAAGCCAAGCTGTGCCCGACCACCTTGGGCACGTGTACTCAGGACCTCCCGAGGGCTGTGTCACGGGCCAGGGTCACTCATATTTGGCTCAGAATAAATCTCTTCAAACATTTTACAGAGTTTGACTGTTCGTCTACAACCCCGAACGCCATGCTTTGTGACAGAGGCACCTGTTCCACCTACATGAAGGTCTAGAACATAACAGAAGTGATCCACAGACCTGGGAATCATGTCAGCGGTTTCCTGGAGCGCAGAGGGTTTTAGCTACACAGGGACATGAAGGAGCTTTCTGGGTGACAGAAACGTTCTGTGTCTGACTAGGATGGTAGTTACCTGTTGTCTGCAAGAAACCCTCCTTATATGTAATGAAATGGAACAGTAAGGTTAAAAGGAGAGACTAGAAAAGGATCTACCAACAACTCTCGAAAGACGGCTGGAGTGTCAATGTGATGCTGAGAAAAGGAGACTTGAGTGTGTGGAATGGTACGAGGGATAGAGAGGCCGTTCCATGGCGAGCAGGCGCCCCCACCATGAGAACACAGTAGCCCTGAACACGACAGAACAGAGCTTCCAAATACGCGAAGCAAACGCCAGCACGCCTGTGAGAAGGGGTAAGGCCACGATTCTCCTTGGTGACCTCAGCTCCCCTCTGAAGCCTCCTACACCATGTAGACAGAACACTGGTCCGGGTGTAGAAGACTTGAAGGATGCCTCAGCAGGCGGGACCTGGCTGGCATTTCTAGAACATTCCCTGAAGCAGAGCGGAAGATGTGTTCTTTTCAAGGCTGCATGGAACCCTGATGTGGACAGACCATATGCTGGACCCGATAACAAGCGTGACAGATTTGAAAGCACTGAGATGAAATGGAATACTTCCCTGACTCCAGAGGAATTAAATTAGAAATAAAAAAGAGATTCAAAACCCTGACAAAAGATAATAGGCACATCATAGAAGAAACCTGAACAGTCGACAAACGTGTGAGAAGATGCCCCAACTCTAGTAACTAGAGAAATGTAATTTAAAACAGACAGAACTGCATTCCCACCGGACTGGTAAAAATTAAGAACCCTTGGTACGGGGGAGAGAATCGGAACCCTGAGAGGAGGTGACGTCAATGCAGTCGCGTTGGCAAACCCTTCGTCAGCAGCTCCTTGAGCTGACCACGCGCCCTTCTTTCCCGCCACTGAGCCGGAGCTGCTGGGTCTGCCTCCCATGGAAACACATAAGTGCCAAGGTCTGTTCACAGCAGCCACGAGCTGGCGATGGATAAATAAGGTGGTGGCACATGGCAGAGCCCGCAGCACAGTGAGTAACGACCCGGAATCGGGAGCCGACAGACGGGCACACCTGGTGCGGCCATGCACAGAACCCAGGGCTAGCAATGCCAGGCAGAGGTGTTGGGTGACCTCCGGCGGGTCGTGGCTGGCCGGGCTAAGCAGGGGATTCCCGGGCGCTGGCTCTATGCACACATTCAGTCTGTGAAAGAAAATGCCTTGTCATGCCGCCGAGGATTCATATGCACGCCGTGTACGTTACCCCGCGAGGCAGGCAAATGCCAGGAAATGTCAGCTCGGATTAGCGAAACGGGAGCGCCTGTCTGCAGATGGGGAGTGTAAACGGCACAGTGACATGGAAAGCACGTTGGCGTTATCTCCTAAAACCCAGTGCAAACCCCTAACAATTCCACTGCCAGGTATTCTGTCCTAAGCAGCGAGCTTCCAACTGTGGGTCAAGAAATCAATTCTGTGGGTCACACCCAGCCTTTCCTACAGATTGAAATAGAAGAAACTTGAATAGAAAATGTAGGGCACAGCACACGTGGTGAAGGGGCATTTTACTCACTGAAGTCTGTGCGCACGCTGAGAGCACGTTCCAGGGCTTGGCAGACGTTTCCTGCAGAAGCCGGGAGCCGCACCCGGGCTCGGCGGGCCACACGGTCGGAGGAACTTGGTCTGTGGGGCTGGCTGGGCCACACGGTCGGAGGAACGTGGTCTGTGGGGCTGGCTGGGCTTGCGTCCCCAGATGCTACGTGTGCTGCCTGATGCAGCATTTCTAGTGCAAAGTGAAAGGACTCAGTCACTTTAGAAACCCGAAGCCACCTCTGCTCTGGGGGCACCTTCTAACCCAGCAGTACCGCAGCAGCTGCCCTGGAGTGTCCTGGGCCCAGCCATAACTTACAAGGGAGCCTGAGTGACAACTCCAGAGGCCAATGCCATTGAGAGAGTACCACGCTTCCTGAGAGGAGGGCCACGTCACCCCAGGCCGGGCCACACGGGAAGCACCCAGGCTGTCCAGAGGCAGAAGGGGCTGGGAAGCCCTGGCCGGGGCCTTTGTTGGGGCCTCCCCTGGGAAGGACCGGGCAGGGTGGCATGAGCAGTTGCAGAGGGGCCGGCGCCCCACAGGCTTTGAGCTGCAGCGGTGTCTCCCGCTGCCTGGTGCCCGGCTCGCGCAGGGCGGGGAAACACTGGCTTAGTGTAAGACTTTGATAGGGAGTCGGGGGACACAGCCCTGGCAAGGCGGGCTCTAGGCAAGCTGTCCACCCCTGGGAAATAACTGGCCCTAGGAGGAGCAGTCCTGGGTCTGAAAGATGCTAAAACATGAACAGATACAGAAAATCAACATACACAATGGATAGAGCGCGAGACCATCTGTGTCCCTGTGCACACGCCAGCACCTCCGTTCCTAACCACTGACAGCTGCAAACAAAGTCCACTAACAGGTGATGGACAAACTGTGTCTTAGTTTATTCAGACAGAAGAACACTGCTCACAGTTAAAAATGAAGGAACAAATAGCAATGAGCTACAGACACACACAACAGCACGGATGAAGCTCTAAGTCATATGATCAAGAAACCAGACATCAAAGGCTCCAACTGCAGCATTCTGACTCCTTGAAGGTCATGAGCCAGAGAGGTCAATCCACCGTGCTTAAGTCAGAGCCACAAATGGGGAAGGGACACCAACAGGAAGGGCTGGAGGGACCTTCTAGGGGCTGGGGTCCCCGCTGAAGAGCATGCATCTCACCATACGTAAATTTTACCTTAATTAATAAAAACAACAGTGGACGCAAATACGCCAACATTGTTGTCCAGGTTAATTTGGCGTGGTGGGAATATGGTGCTTTATTTGGATTTTTTTTTTTTTTTGAGCCTCAAAAAAATATATATAAAGAAGAAGAAGAAAGGGAAAGGGGTCTTCCCCCAGGCAAGCAGTCACCCCCAGCAGGAGGGTCTCCCAGCAGGAGCGTCCCAGCCACTCCGCAGTCGCTCCCGACCCAGGAAAGAACAACCACAGCTGGGCCCAGCACCCCGGGCCGCTCCCTGCAGCTGCCCACACATCTGGCAGCTGGATCTGCTTATGCAATGTGGATCCAGCTTCTTATATCTGAAATCTGCGTCTCTCTCCCTCCTCTGAGACCAGTGTCTCCTGCCAGCTTCCATGGCCCCAGGATGACCTCACTCGCCCAGGGTCTCCCTGGATCCTGGGTTCTCTGGCCGAGGGGCAGCAGGGGCTGATGGCGGAGTGGGGACAGGTCAGAGTTCAGCAGATGGAGTCCTGAATACACAGGGGATGTGGAGGGGCCGGGGGGCTGGGGATGCCCAGGATTTGGCACGAGGGTCTCTGCGTCCCACTCACTCCTGGCACAAGAGCCCCAGCCTCAGGACCCCAGTCACAGGCACCCGGGGGTGGGGATGACCAGCAGCAGTTCAGAGGCAGGTGTGGGCAATGTGAGCCTGAGTCTCCTCCCCACTCATGTCACTGCCCGCGGGGACACAGTGGCATTTCCTGGGCACTCAGCGTGCTGCGTTCCAAACTTCAATTATTCATTCTGCTCTCAGACACCTTCTGAGGAGACCCTGGCCCAGGAGAGCTTGGCTCAGGGACAGACGGATGAGACACAGTGGGACACAGGGCCCGACCCCAGCCCCGCCCCAGGCTGGATGGGGTCTGGGGGTGGCAGAATGTGGACCACTCAGTGGGAGGTTTCCTGACTGCCTTCCTGAACCAACGTCACTCGCAGGCAAGGGACACGCCGTCCTGGCCCCGCCCCTCTGAGCCCTTAGAATCATGGAGGGGTGGGGCAGCCTGTGCCCACCCCCCGGGGGAAGTGTGCCCCTGGGGACCCTGGGGGCCTGCCAGGTGCGCCGTCTTCAGGAGGTGCACTGCCAGGCTCCAGGGTCATGCCTGGAGACACTTCAGGCCTCCCCCACCTCTGGGTACCGCCTGCAGGGGTGAGGCCCTGCTTAGCTCTGCTTGCCCTGCCAGGATGGAGGGCACAGGCCTGTGTGGAAACCCCAGGGCTCCTTGACCCCCATGAGGTTTCTCGGGAGCTTCCTGCCCCGAGGGTCCCAGCATCTCCCGGGTGGAGGTTCTCAGGGATGCCCCCACCAACTCCCCAAGGCTACTGTGATGGGAAATCCTTCTTCCCAAACCCAGAGCCCTGGGCGGATCTCCCGGGCTGTGCACCAAGGTAGAAACCCTCAGGGTCCTGGGGGAACCAGGGCCCGGGTCTGGGCTCCATTCGGGACCCTCCCAGCCCTGGGAAATCACAACACAGAAGTAATCCCGGGGCCAGAGCCACTAGGCCCCCGTGGAGCCCTGGCCACCTGCCACAGAGCCCTGGCCCCACACTGGGAAGGCAGAGCCCTGGTCTCGGGACTCTCTGGGGCTGGGTGCTCCTGTCCCCCGTGGAGGGCCTGCCACCCGATTCTCCCCACGCGGGACCAGCTCCACAAAGCTCTGTTCTCCAAGGGTCCTCAGGCACAAGACTTGAGTTCTAACTTACCCAAAACACAGCCGAACACAATCCCTGCCTGGACCCACTCCTAGTGAAGGAGATTGGAGCGCCGCTGGCTCACGCTTATGGGGCCAGCGAGGCCCGAGGACCGTCGGGGAGAAACTGAGGCCCACACAGGTGCAGGATGCGGTGGGTGGGAGAGGTGGTCAGGCCTCCAGAAGACGGGACACTTGGGGCAGAAGGAGCATGAAGTCCCTTCAAGGGCCCCTTGGGGCGGTCGGGACCATCACCGGGTCTGCTGAGAGACCGGGAGGAGGGAGTCCCACCTGCAGGGAAGCTCAGGAGACTCTTGCACTGGACCTAACCCGAGTCCTGCAGGTAGAAGCCGCTGCTCCAAGCCGCTGCCTCCTGGGGCCTCAGCCCAGCTGGAAGCAGCTCCGCACTCAGTCTCCCCAGAGGCTGTGTCCCTGTCCAAGGCCGTCTTACAGCAGACACAGAACAGGAAGGATAATGTGGCAAACGTGTGGCCCTGCAGAGTCCAGGGAGGAGCCAGCCCGGCCCCAGGCCGGCCGCATGGACGCTGACCCCATGTGCTGCAGCCGCAGGCCACGCAGGCTCCTGGTCCCTTCCTAGATCATGCCAGCCAGCCAGGGCGGCAGGAAGAGGCCCACGGTCCCCAGCAGGCAAACGATGATGAACATCCAGAGGAAGATGCGGTCGATGACCATGGCCACGTACTTCCAGTCCTCCTTCACCTGCAAGCACAGATGCCGTCACCCCAACAGCCCCGGCCGCCCACCGGAGAGCCCTCAGGACCCTGGCACCGCCGGCGGCAGCTTCTCCACCTCCCACCTTCCACCCGAGGCAGCCACGGCTGCCGGTGCACCCCGCACACACCTGCACCAAGGGGAGGAATCGGGAAGCACGGGAAAGCCAGTGCTCTGCAGGGGGCGGCATCACTATGGTGCAGGGCAGGAGAACCTGGGAACCCTGGGAATTCTGGCTGGGCAGACCCCCATGTGGAGACAGGCTCTGCACTGTGCCCTGAGTGCCCCCACCTCTCAGCAGGCAGTCTGCACTTCAGGAAGGGGGCACGGGGAAGGGGGGTTTAGGTGCCCCGTGAGGGGTCTGCTCTCAGTTCACCAGTGCTGGGAGGCGCACCATGGAGGCTCATCCCCCTCCCCGTTTTGCAGATGGAAAAATGAGGCCCGGTGGGGGCACAGCCTCACTGAGCAGGGTGAGACAGGGAGCCTGCTGGGTTTGGGATAATGGGGCCTAACCCCACACACTGGTCGTGGGCAGCATTGCCAGCTGATGCTCCACAGGGAGGACCCGGGGCCAGAGGGCGGACGAGAGCAGCACACACGGAACCCGCACAGCCACTGCCATCTGCGATCTCTCACTCGAGCTTCCCCTGGCCTGTCCCATTTTCACACTGAGGTGCACAGCTATCGGAGCGGCTGCGGTTACACATCTAAACAGGGACAGTGGGTGCCGGCTCCCGGTCCGGCTTCTAACCCCACACTCCTGGGGCTGATGCAGGGCGGACCCCACCCTGGGTGACCCCTAGGAGCAGAGGCCTAGGGACAGCAGAGGCAGTGGCCCGGTCAGGCCTGGAGTCGGGAAGCCGTTCTCAAGACAGCTGCTGTGTGCAGCTAAAGGTACTCACGCAGCTGGCCACTTCCCTGGCCCCGGCTCCCCTGTCCCACATCTCTGGCTCCCCCAACCTGCGTCTCTGGCTCCCCTGTCCTGCGTCTCTGGCTCTCCCATCCTGTGTCCCCGGCTCCCCCGTCCCGTGTCCCCGGCTCCCCCGTCCTGTGTCCCCAGCTCCCCTGTCCTGTGTCTCTGGCTCCACTGTCCTGTGTGTCTCTGGTTTCCCCGTCCCGCGTCTGTGGCTCCCCCGTCCCGTGTCTCTGGCTCTGCTGTATAGAAGGACCTGAGACGACCCCAAGCTGACGAGCTGCCTCTGGGCCAGGCCATGAGGGTGTCCTGGGTCCCGGGCCTGTGGATGATGAGGGATGGGAGGGGACAGTGCCGCCTCCTGCTCTGATTTTTTGCAGCAATCCCGGGTGTCCTGATCGTGTTAAACTGAACCAAAATGGCCGTATTTATTTACGGGAAGCCTGAAGGCAAACGGGGTCACTTATAAATAAAGTCCTGCTCAGGCCTCAGCTCTGGGGGAGGGACGCGGCCACCCTCTCACCCTTTCCCACGTGCCTTTAGTTCCCTGGGTTCTGTGTGCCGCGTTCCATCCGCCCTGAAGATGAAACGCAGCGACAGACCAAAGCCTTCCCTCTGTCCCCGAGGCGCCTCCTGTGAAGTCAGCTCTGCTCCCCACAAGCCCAGAACCAGGTCAGGCAGCGGCAGTGATCGGCCCACAAGGCTGCTGGAGGGGGCCCAGGCTGCGCTGGCTGCCGAGCTCAGACCCACTGCCGGCTTCAGGGCCGTTTTGATCAAACACCTAAAAGCATCCAACCCCACAGTGGCACGGCCTGGGCATAGCTGCCTCTGGCTTCAAGAGCTGGCAGCAAAGCAGGATCCTGACACTTCTCCAGGCTGCTCTCGTGACCCCAGAACATTCTGGAACATGCAGGTGGCTTTGCAGCTTCTTGGGATTCAGTGGGGGTGGCTGTGTGGGGCGACTCCCTCACTTCTCAGGGGTGTGGAGCACGCGCCCCTTGCTTTGGGGCTCACTCAGTTAGTGGGGGCAGGCACCAGAGGCATCCTAATAAACCATCGAGGATGGCACTCTGGGATCTTGGCAGAGGCGGCCCCTTCAAATGGAGGCGGCCCACTGAGGGCGCCAGGCCCTGGCACTGGGATGAGAGCCGGGAGGTGCCAGCAACAGCAGGCGGATGGCAGGACAGATGTCAAGTTGCCGCTGTGGACGTCACGGGCTGCACGGCTGAGGCTGAGACCCTCGGCTGACTGTGTTCCCCACCCATCCGGCCCCATTGTCCCGTCTGTGGCCCCTGGCCCCTGAGCCTCCCCACCTGCGACAGACAGCAAATGTCTGCAGAAGGAAACAGGGAGGCTACCTGGTGCTAGGGTCAGGCAAAGCTGGCTCTGCCCCGGGGCCTCTCCTGCAGGGAACGGGTAGGAGACTGCAGAGCCGCGGGTAACACAGACATGGCTGCCACTTAGCAGAAACCACGGCTCTGGAGGCCGCTGTGCAGCCGGTGCCTGGTGCGTGAGGGTGAGGGCAGGTGGGCTGGCCCAGGGCCCCGGGGGGCCTTAGCAGTGCGGCCTATGTTTTCTGCCCCCAGCCCATGGCTCTCCCACCCATCCCCAGCGTGGCCGCGTGGGGCTGACGGTCTTGGGGCTGTGTTCCTGTCCCGGATCCTTCTCTCCTGCCACCAGCCCATCCCATCCCATCTTCTCCAAGCCCCCTACCTCCAGGCCCCAGGTACGGAGGGGCCCTAGGGAGGCCCACGGGGCAGGCACAGGCACGCCCTGGGGAAAGGGACTTGGCAGTGCCTTGTTGCGTTCTGGAGACTTGGGCGTCGCTGGGCAGGAGTTCCCAGAGCGCCCCCATGCTGTGCTGGAAGGAGGCCGCCTGTGGCCCCTCACCCTGCCATCTCCGAGGCCCAGTGTGTCCCAGAGTCGGAGGCGGCACCAGGATCCACCCCGTGCCAGCCCCTCGGGACCACCTGCCCCGCTCAGCCTGGGACCTGCAGCTATGTAGCAGCTCCGGGTGAGGCTGCTGCAGCAGGGGCCATGCCCTGTACCCCAAAGCAAAGCAGCCTGAGGCCTGGGCCCAGCTCCTGGATGACGCACCAGAAACGGAGGGTGTCCACCGACTCCATCTGGGCCAGAGGCGCCCAGCACAGCCATGGGCGGGACTTACCGAGAAGTCTGCGTCTTCCGCCTTCAGGTGGTCCGCGATGTACTGGACACCCTCCACCGCCCGGGTCAGGGCCGGCGACAGGGGCAGGTGCCGGGGCGGTGCTTTGGTGCCGCGGGCCTTGAGCGTGGCGCTCGGGGACACGGAAGGGGGCTCCTTCCCGCAGGTGCATTTGTGCGGAGAGGGCTGGTCTGGGGGCGGGAGCTCAGCCGAGTGGGTCTTGCGAGAGGCCAGGGCGCCGGCAACCTGGCCGTCCGCCTCGGGGGCGGCATTGTCTCGGGGAACGCAGTACTGGATGCTCCGAGACCGGCACCGGACACCACCTTCCACCGCTTCTCCAGGGCTGGACATGTGCTGGACGCTGAGGGACCTGGCTTTGGCCAGCCCTGGTGCCTGGGTGCTGTGGGGTGGGCGGTAGGGTCCAGGCGAGGGGTGGGGACTGGCTTTCTCAGCTTCCGGGGGCTGCAGAGCGGGGAGTTGGTCGGAGGGCGACTTGCAGGCAGGCCCAGACTCAGCCGGCACATCCAGGGGGACACAGAAGGACGGCGAGGGCGGGTGCCGGCTCTGGGTGCCGCTTGTGGCAGCAGGCTCCCCCTCCGGCTCGGGCCAGAAGCGCGGGGCACTGGCCATCTTGTGCATGGACTCAATGAGTCGCCGGCAATTGTCCTTGACCACGGACGGCCGCTTCATGAGGAGCAGGCGCGGCACGATGTCCAGGAAGACTCTGCGTACCCAGGCGGGCATGGTGTGCGTGCGCGGCGAGCGGTGGTGCACGTTGAGCACGAAGACCGTGATGACGATGGACAGGGTGACGAAGATCATGGTGAACAGCAGGTACTCGCCGATGAGTGGGATGACCAGCGAGGTGGACGGGATGATCTCGGTGATGAGCAGCAGGAAGACGGTGAGCGACAGCAGCACGGAGATGCACAGCGTGATCTTCTCGCCGCACTCGGAGGGCAGGTAGAAGACCAGCACAGTGAGGCAGGAGATGAGCAGGCAGGGAATGATGAGATTGATGGTGTAGAAGAGCGGCAGCCGCCGGATGACGAAGGCGTAGGTGATGTCTGGGTAGATCTCAGCACAGCACTCATACTTCCTGGTGTTGTAGGTGCCCACGGCGTCCACGATGACCCACTCGCCGCTCTCCCAGAAGTCCAGCTGGTCCACGCGGCTGTGCATATTCACCAGGTCGATCTTGGCCTTGTCGTAGGTCCAGGAGCCGAATTTCATGGTGCAGTTCTGCTGGTCGAAGGGGAAGAAGGTGACATCGATGCTGCAGGAGCTCTTGTAGATGGCCGGGGGCGTCCACTGCACCCGCCCGTCATGGAACAGGTGGGCCTTGGTCAGGTGGGTGACTGCGAAGTCCCCATCAGCACTGGGCAGGAAGATCGAAGGGAGTAAGACCCCCACGTCCATGCCCACGTCCACATCCACACCCATGCCCACATCCATGTCCACGCCCACATCCACATCCTCATCCACATCCACATCCATGCCCACGCCCACACACAGAGGCATTCTCACATCACAGGAGCATAGAAAGGCTGGCGGCCTTGCCCAGGTACACTGCTCGTCTCTTCACTTACTCGCGCACCTCAGTTTATCATCCCTGAGCTGGGGGTAGCACGTGGTTCAGAGAACAGGAAGGGACCTACAGGTGTCTGACACACATAGTCACTGCTGCTGCTGATTCTTCTTACCCGTGAGTGGTGCAGGGATGGGGCTAGTCTTCCAGCGACACCTCCTGGGACACACAGCATCCCTACATCCCTGCCCCTCCAAGCAGCACCCCGGGCCACCACAGGAATTCCTCACCCAGCTTCTGCCGTTAACCCCAAGGACTTGGAGGCCACCTGCCGGTGTGTGAGCATGAGGACACCAGGGGCCACAGAGGCAGGGACAGGTGCTCTGGCCACCCAGGGACAATGCAGTGAGGCTGCATATGCACTGCCCAGTTCCAGGGCCACATCCGAGCCACTGGCTCTGGACTCTCTTTTGCCTTGAGGACATGGGTCTTCTGTCCACAGGCCCAGGTGGGCAACAGAGCAATGGAGCGAGGGGCTGATGTCCCTTGAACTCCTCCTGGTAGGCAGAGCTCCCAGACCCAGCCCCTAGTTCCATGGACAGTGGCTGGCTGGGTAGGACACACTGCAGGAGCACGTTCCGGCCTGAAGCAGCTGACCCCCCACACCCCACCCACAGAAGTCCCCACCGATGGGAAGCCTGAGGCCCCATTAAATCCACAGCATTGGTGGGTGTGGGGCCAGGCTCAGCTCTGTGGAGGATGGTGGGGCACGACGTGTCCCGGGGAGCGGCTGCCCAGCCACACACCTTCTGCCCACCTCTGCCAAGTTGCCTGGACCCCTGCCCATCCCTCCTCTGTCTCATTCCCTGAGAGCCTGCTCAAAGGCCAGGGCCTCCCCAGGTACTTGGGCAGAGCTGGCCACTGTTCCCTGAGCTTCCTCTGTGCCTGCCCAGGAGTCCCAGGGCCGGGCCTGCACCTCAACCTCCCTCCCAACCCTCAGGGACCCTCCCTTTGTGGAGCTGCCGCTGCTGGAGCTCTGCCCTCCAGGTCATGGAGCCCTGGCCCCCCACCGGTCTCGGTCGGTGCTGAGGCTCTGCCCCGCTGAACTGGTCCTGAGCCAACACTGCCGGCTGGGCTGCCGCTCGGCTGCCCTGCAGGGGGAGGGAGACCCGGGAAGAGCCACCAGCTGCATCTCCACACAGCTCCGGCCCAGCACAGCCTGGCCCCCGATTTCAGTCTGGGTGGAATCAGGCTCAAGTTTGCTCCTTTCCCCCCAGCCCATCTCTCCAAAAACCAACGCTCTCCACCTTCTGAGGCACAAATGAAAACCTTCTCATACGGGAAGCGGGTGACTACTCCATTCAGCACGCACGCTGCAGGGGCTCAGGGCTGTGCTTGGGAACAGTGCAGGTCACTCTGGGCAGGGCCCCCCTCTCCCAGGGTCCTCCACCCGCGCCACAGGAAACGGGACAAGGTCAGGGCCAGGTCCCCCAGCCCCCAGGTCCCACAGCATCCCTGGGCCGCGTCACTGCTGCTCCCTGCCCTACCCACCCCTGGCTCCGGCCGCCCTCTGGGGAGCCTTTGAGGAGAACCCTGTTTGGGCTGAACCACCGAGCTGTGAGCCGGTTCTGGAAAGCTGCACCCTAGGAGCAGGCAGGGTCTGAGGAGCCGCCCAGTCTGGCAGGTCCAGGTTCCTGCTCCAGGGCCCACGGGGTGGCATGAGACCCTCTGTCCCCTCCACCCCGATCCCCAGGTCAGGGATTTCTGGGCTCCTGCCCCAAAGGGCCAATCTTAGACAAGCCCCAAGTGGACAGCAGGGCCCCCAACTGGGGGTGGCCAAAGCCCAGAGAAGGGCTGAGGCCTCCCACCCTGCAGCCTGGCTGGCCACCAGCCACGGTCACCTGCTGCCCCAGAAACAGGCCTCGGTGGGAGCGGACCCCAGCACCAGCACCGACTCCAGGAACCCCACGTCCTGTCCAGAGAGAGCCTCGGTGACAACCCCAGCCCTGAAGAGAAAACTGGGGTCACCCGACTGTATCCCACAGGTTACCCCACTACCTCCCACAGGCTGTAATGAGGAGGAGACACAGGAGGACATGGGGTGGCCGCACACCCCCCTCTCCTGAGCTGTGGTCCTAGGCTGGGCTGCGGTCCTAGGGGGGCTGCGGTCCTAGGGGGCTGTGGTCAGGCGAGAACTGTGATCCTTGCGGGCACTGCGGTTCTGCGGGAGGTGCTGTAGCCCTAGGCAGGGATGTGGTCCTGGGGGGACTGTGGTCCTGGCAGGGAATGTGGTCCTGGGGGAGCTGTGAACCTGGTGGAGGCTGCAGTCTTTGGAGGGCTATGGTCCTGGTAAGGGTGTGGAAGTGGGGAAGCTGCAGTACTCGGGGCTGTGGTCCTGGGGGTTTGAGGTCACAGTGGGGGCTGTGGTCCTCAGAGGCTTTGTTCCTGGGGGCTGCATTCCTGGAGGGCTGTGTACAGGCACCCAGAGCTGCTTCTCTGCCCGGCCCATCCTGGGCATTTCCACTTCTCCCTGAAATATGTCCCTGTGAGTCACACAGGCGGATTCGGTGCACGGTCCTGGTGGCGGCGAGCTAGGTGGCTGGGCAGCTTGCAGGGGGCAGGGAGCCTGTCCTAAGGGAAGACCACTTGCCACCCACTCACCACTGACCACCTCCCCTAATGCACCCTGGAAGAGTGTCCGGCCCCCTTTCACCACCCTTCCCACTGCCATTACTGGAATCAATTGAGTTGGAAGAGGAGCCCGATGGTTCTTAATCATACAGCAGCGTTTGTAGGTCAGGCAGGCGCCCTGGGGCCTGGAAGGGGCTGTGGGCAGATGGCTGGGACAGGAGAGGAGGAAGAGCTTCCATTTGCTTTGTTTGTGGGAGCTTCGACCCTGCCGCGCCCAGGCCCTGAGCCTGTCGCGAGAGATATTCCCTGGAGGACTCAGCTCAGAGAGTGCTGACTGCCGGGCGCAGGGCCCTCGGCACAGATCTGTGGGAAGGACAAGTTGGAGGACAGCAGCCTCTGGAGGCCACCGTCTGCCACGGCCAATCCCTGGCAACGCTGCCCTGGCTTCCAGGCACAGGAAACCCGTTTCCATGACCAGACTTCATCTTGGCCTCCCAGGAGCCTGACACAGGCTTGGCCCAGCCTGAGGCTTTGTTTGCTGGGGACCTGGTGTGATGTTTGTCCTGGGCAGGGCCTGAGTGTGCAGAGCAAGCAAAGGCCCTGCTGGTGTGGGAGCCGTCTGGGGCTTCCCCACCCTTCTCCACGGCACCCTGCGGTCCACACTATTCTTCCAGAAATCCCAGGATGGGGTCTGATCGTGAAAAGCACTCCAGCCCAAAAGGGCTCTCCTGCAGCCATCAAGGGTGGGGCAAAGACGTCCGGGGTCAGGAGCCAGCCCCCAGGCCTCAGGACTGGTCCAGGCAGGGATGTTGTGCCCAGGTGCCACAGCCACTCTCAGACCCCTCTGGCTCTGAAGCTCCAGTGCTGACACCCAGCGATGCCCTCAGCCTCTTTGCTGGCCTGGAGGGACCCTTCCCTCCTCAACCCCTACCAGTTTCTCCATTGCTCCTGCTTCTTCCTTCCTGGACCTGGGCTGGCATGGATGGGGCTGGCATAGGCCCTGCTGGGCCAGGCTGGGCCTTGGCAGAGCTCCCCAGGGGACTCACTTGTTGTAGAGGACGATGTCCGGCCGCCAGATGAGCTCGGAGGGGATGCGGATGGAGGTGACGTTCTCGTAGTCAGCTGGGTCCCAGCGCAGCTTGTAGTCATGCCACTCCTGGACGGGGTGGGGCGGGGGGAGGCTGCAGGGTGAGGGGTGTGGGGGAGGGTGGGGTGGGGCAGGGCCAGGGTGGGGCAGGGCTGGGGCAGGGCAGCAGGGTGAGGGGTGTGGGGGAGGGCAGGGCCGGGGCAGGGCAGCAGGGTGACGGGTGTGGGGGAGGGTGGGGCCGGGGCAGGACCAGGGCAGGGCAGCAGGGTGAGGGGTGAGGGGTGTGGGGGAGGGCAGGGCTGGGGCAAGGCAGCAGGGTGAGGGGTGTGGGGGAGGGCAGGGCTGGGGCAGGGCAGCAGGGTGAGGGGTGTGGGGGAGGGTGGGCTGGGGCAGGGCCAGGGCAGGGCAGCAGGGTGAGGGGTGTGGGGGAGGGCAGGGCTGGGGCAGGGCAGCAGGGTGAGGGGTGTGGGGGAGGGCAGGGCCGGGGCAGGGCAGCAGGGTGAGGGGTGTGGGGGAGGGCAGGGCCAGGGCAGGGCAGCAGGGTGAGGGGTGGGGCAGGGCTGGGGCAGGGCAGCAGGGTGAGGGGTGGGGCAGGGCCAGGGTGGGGCAGGGCCAGGACAGGGCAGTGCCCTCCCACTCACCTGCTTCACCCATACGTTCGTGGTCATCATCTGGTTCTTCTCGTCCTAGGGCACAGAGAGAGGAAGGGGGCCAGTGACCCCTTGGTGTCTTTCTCTGGCCCTGGGTTTCTTCATCCACAGCCACTGGCACAAGGACAGGGCCAAGGCGAGACATGGTGGATGGGCGACCTCTGGAGGGGGCAAGTGCCCCGTCCCTGGAGGCAGCTGAGCCCAGGATGGGGACTCTGAGGAGATCTAGGGATGTGGGGACAAGGCCGCAAACATCTCCAGCAGGAAACTGGAGAGGAGGTCAGTGGCCTCACAGGCTCCCCCAGCTAAGGATGGGTGTGGCAGGCATGGGGAGCCTCCTTCTGCCCTCCTGCCTTGCTCCCTCCTGGCCCTTGGGGGCAGCCCCTCTGCAGACGAGGCCCCCCATGTGGGCACACACAGCCAGCAAAGCTGCCCTGGCACATAAGTGGGTTCCACTGCTGGCCAGGGTGGCCTCTCCAGGACTGTGCCTCATGACCTGAGCAGGTGGGACCTGTCACTCAAGGTCACTGTGTGCAACTGGGCCACTCACCCCAGCCCCTTCCAGCCCGCCCCACTCACCTCCTTCCACATCCCCACAGACCACATCCCCACAGGACCACATCTCCACAGACCATGTCCCCACAGAACCACGTCCCCACAGGACCACATCCCACAGAACCATGTCTCTACGGACATGTTCCCCACAGAACCACATCCCCACAGGACCACATCCCCACAGGACCACATCCCCACAGGACCATAGTTACGTATTGCTCACAGGACCACATTCCACGGACTAATGCCCCCACAGAACCATGTCCCCACAGGACCACATCCCTGGCTGGTGGACCACATCCTCACAGGACCATATCCCACAGGACCACATCCCACAGAACCACATCTCCACAGACCACGTCCCCACAGAACCATGTCTCCACAGAACCACATCCCCACAGGACCACATCCCCCACAGAACCATGTTCTACAGACCATGTTCCCCACAGTGACCACATCCCACAGGACCACATCTCCACGGACCACGCCCCCACAGGACCACACCTAATGGACCACGCCCCCACAGAACTATGTCCCCACAGGACCATATCCCACAGGACCACATCCCACAGGACCACATCTCCACGGACTACATCCCCACAGAACCATGTCCTCTACAGGACTACATCCCACAGGACCATATCTCTCCCACAGACCACGCCCCCACACAACCATGTCCCCACAGGACCACATCCCACAGGACTACATCCCACGGACCATGTCCCCACAGGACCACATCCCCACAGGACCACATCTCCACAGACCACGTCCCCACAGAACTATGTCCCCACGGGACCACATCCCACAGGACCACATCTCCATGGACCATGTCTCCACGGACCATGTCCCCACAGGACCACATCCCACAGGACCACATCTCCACGGACCATGTCCCCACAGGACCACATCCCCACAGGACCATGTCCCACAGACCACATCACCACAGACCACATCCCACAGGACGTCTCCACCGAACCTCATCCCCACAGACCACGTCCCCATAGACCACGTCTCCGCAGGGCCACATCATCTCCCCACAGGACCTCATCCCCTCAGGACCTCATCCCGTGTGTCTGAGGAAGCTCCAGGGTCCTCAGAACCAGCTTCATGTGGCCAGGCCTGGCCCTCCTGCCCAGTGTCCTGCCCTGCTCCCTTGCAGCCATCATTCTCAGGTGCCCTTGAAGCTGGAGGGCAGGTCAACACTGTACATTTCACCACCACTCAGCATTGGCCTGGGCTGGTTAGAAAAGCACTGGGTCTTCCAGACCCTCCTGTGCAGCCAGTCCTGGGGCCTGAGCTCACATATGCAGCTCACATATGCAGCTCACATCCCCTCCAGGACAGACCCTGGTGACGGCATCTATAACAAGTATATGAGCTCGCAAAGGGGGCACACGTGAGTCCCCAGCCCCTGGTTGGACAGACAGAGTGGGCCAGACACAAGACAGCCCCTTCCGCATACACGTGACCCTCGGACTTAGGCCGGCACCCAGGAGTGTCAGCACCCACGTACGGACACAAGGCAGCCCCTTCATCCTCCTCCAGGACAGACCCTGGTGACGGCATCTATAACAAGTATATGAGCTCGCAAAGGGGGTACACGTGAGTCCCCAGCCCCTGGTTGACAGACAGAGTGGGCCAGACACAAGACAGCCCTTCCGCATACACGTTGACCTCGGATTCTTAGGCCGGCACCCAGGAGGCCAGCACCTACGCACGGACACAAGGCAGCCCCTTCCATATACACGTGCACCTCCACTTCTAGGGCGAGCACCCAGGAGTGTCAGGCACTCACATACGGACACAAGGCAGCCCCCCTTCCCACGTGGTCCTCCGCCGCCTTAGGCCAGCACCCCAGGAGGTCAGCACCCACGTACGGACACAAGGCAGCCCCTTCCACACATACGTGGTCCTCCGCCTTAGGCCAGCACCCAGGAGGCCAGCACCCACGCACGGACACAAGGCAGCCCCTTCCACACATACGTGGCCCTCCGCCTTAGGCGAGCACCCAGGAGTGTCAGCACCTACATACGGACAAGGCAGCCCTTCCACTACGTGGTCCTCCGCCTTAGGCCAGCACCCAGGAGGCCAGCACCTACGCACGGACACAAGGCAGCCCCTTCCACATACGTGGTCCTCCGCCTTAGGCCAGCACTCCAGGAGGCCAGCACCTAATGCACGGACACAAGGCAGCCTCTCCACACATACGTGGCCCTCCGCCTAGGCCAGCACCCAGGAGGTCAGCACCCACGTACGGACACAAGGCAGCCCTTCCCCATCACACATACGTGGCCCTCCGCCTTAGGCCAGCACCCAGGAGTGTCAGGCAGCCCCTTCCGCACACACGTGGCCCTCGGCCTTGGGCACCCAGGAGCATCAGCACCCACGTGTGCATGCTCGTGTAAGTCCTTAGCCGGCTGCAGGGTGGAGAGAGGGGTGGGCAGCTCTGGGAGTCTTGGTGCTGGGTGTGCTCCTGGCCTCAACGTCTCCTGAGCAAACTGGGGGCTCTGTGGTGGTGTAGGGAGCCATGGACTGAGCCCTGAGAAGCTCAGGTAGGCAGCCAGGTGGGGGGTGGCAGACCTAGAGCCTTGGGCAGCCGCCAGCGGCCGCCTCTGCCAGCCACCACTTTGCAGCCGTGTTTGCAAACCTCAGCAGGCTTGCCAAGCCTGTGCAACCCGCATTGTCTTCTGGCTGGGCCTCCGCCAGAGACACTCCACAGGAGCCACTCAGGGGCAGTTCCAGGACACTGAGGGTGGAGGTCTGGGTGGCCGACCCTGGACGGGGCCGGCTGACTGGAGTCTCCATGCGCAGCCCTGTGCAGGCAAGTGCCACCACTGACCAGCCTGTTCGTGGGAATGGGGCTGCAGCTCCCTACACCTCTCAAAGCCCCTGGGGTGTGGTCCACTCAGCCTGGGATAGTGAAGCAGCTCTCACCCCGTTCCACAGGCCCCAGGCCCAGGGTTACCCAACACTCGCCAGCCTCCCAAAGAGAGGAAATACTCCTGCAACCTGGCAGCTCCTCCCACAGCGGCAGACCCAGGCTTGGCGTCCTGGCAAGGTGTGGGCTGGGCCTCTGCAGCGTACAAATGCCTCCCCGTGTGTGGGTGCCCTCCCTGGACCAGCAAGCTGGGATTTGGCAGCAGGACTGGAGCTGGCAGACTCCAGTGTGGAAGACACAAGCCCCTGCAGCCCAGCTGGCCATCAGCTGCCCACTCGCAAGCAGGCCAGCTCCCAGAGGCCACGGCCTGCCCAGCCTGCCCTCTTCCATGGCAGGAGCCCCCAGGTTATGCACCCCCACCCAGCCAGGTACCCTGAGGGATGGTCTCACCCTATCTGGAGTGGCTGAGCCTGGCTAGGAAACGTGGAACTGTCTCTGCTGCCCCTCACCCGGCCCCTCTAGGGCCGCCGAGACCCCCAGACGGTCTGACTCAGGCCTGGGTAGGTAACCAAGCATCTCAACCGAGCACAAGGCTGAGCCTCCCACAGCTCAGTTCTCTCAGCCTCGAAGCCTCCTGGTTCCTATCCCCACCTCGGGGCTCCGTGTGCACTGGCCCACGCTGCAGGGGCCTGGCTGGACCCCTAGGCATCCTCCCAGCAGCCTCCTGGGCCCCCCACCAGAAAGGAAACACACTTCACACAAACAGAACTCGCCCAAGACTCGCCCAAACCCCACATTCCAGACCTGTGGGTGAGGGGCTCTGGGGCCAGCCGAGGTTGGGGTGCTACCAGGACACCACAGTGCCTGCCCCTGCCCCGGCCCCTTCCCCGGTCGGTTGTCCTTGTTGTTCCCAGGTCACAGCGTGTCCCGCCACCCCCAAGCAAGGCCTTTGCTGTTCTTCCGAAGGTGCCTGGGCTCTGTACTGAGAACCTGGCCACGTGGAGTGTTCCCACATCGAGGAGGAGGAAAGGGCAGGGCCTGACTGGGATGCTCTGAACCAACCTTTGGCCGGGGCTCCGGCAGGATGGAGCTGGTGGCTGCTGTTCTGGCATACTAGCCCAGGCCGGACACTCTCAGCCACAGCGAGTGTTGATGGCTGTGTCCCCTCTGCCCACCCAGACCCCGGCGCTCCTTGCAGGATGACCTCAGTCACAGCACATGATGGCCACGCCCCCACCTACCACGTCAATGAGCTGAGCAATGGACAAGCCGAAGCGGACAAGGACCACGTCCGAGATGTTGGCCACGGGTCGGGACCACTTGTTGTAACCGGAGAAGAGTTTCTTCAGGAGCCGCTCCTCAGCGTGGGCCCGGGTCTCCACATGGCTGCTGGCTGCGGGGAGAGGCAGATCAGTGCTCAGGTGCAGGTGGGACAGGAGCCAGGAGCTGTCCTGGCTGCCCCAGTCCCCTGCCCAGCACGCTCAGCCACGTCCGCTTCCTTTCAGCTCCTCACAAGAGCACCGCCCACCCCAGGACCTCTGCGTGTGCCGGGCGTGGCATACGCTGCCCTCCTTTGGCTTCTGTCTCTCTCCCACCCCTGGGTGTAACTGTGATTTCCTCCGGGAAGCTTCCCAGGCCCCTCAGCCCACGGAGGCCTTTCCAGCACCTTGCACCGCACCACAAAACCGGGCAATGGATGGGCTGAGAACTGCTTTGGGTCCCCTGTCACACTGACTTCTAGGGAAGGGCTGTGCCTCCAGCGGCCGGCGAGTCAGAGGACACTTGGGGGTAACAGCAGCACGGGATGGGGCACAGGGCAGCGGGGCCAGCCCAGGCAGGGAGAGGGAGGAAGAGGAAGGAGGATCGGCCCCCCAAAGCGCCCGCTTCCTAGGGAATCTCCTGTGGTTCATCAATCCCCTGATGCTGGAGGAGTGTTTCACACGCAGGTGCCCAGCCCCCTCCGCACCCCAGCCCTCCGCACCCCAGCCTGCCCCAGCTCTTCGTCAGACCCAGAACGCCCTTGATGAGTCGCTCTGGAGGAGCACAGCCCCAGGTCGAGCACAGCCCCAGGTCCATCTGTGCTCCAGGTCTGGGCCCCAGGGTCTGAGGCGTTCCCCGCCTGTCCTGGGCGCTGCCACATGGGGCGGGTCTGGATGGAGGGGGACCTTCCACCTCCCTGCTGGGCCCCGCTCTCAGGCAGACAGGACTGGGGAGGGGGAGGGGTCAGTCTACACCCCTGGGAGCCTTGACTCCAAGCCCAGAGTCCCTACTCCCGACTTTGTTCTTCCTGCAGAAAAGGTGGGTGGGGGCCGCCAAGGGCAGAGGCCACCCCTCTGACCCCCTAAACCGGAGGAAGCAGGCATGGGAGTCTTCAGGGAAATTTAGCCTGATGGATGGGGGAAGGGCGAAGGGGGCCCCACCTCTGTTCAAGTTCGAGCTTTTGGGTCCAGCCCTGAAATAGCAGCGGAACCCCCACCCCCCGCGGAAACCCCCTTTCCCAGCCCTCCACATTCGCTGGCGGTTAACTCCCTCCTCGCCTGGCTCAGCCCGGGTGTGAGCGCAGCCTGTGCGGCTGGGGATGGGGAGCCTCTCTGCCGCCCCGTTGCGCGCACCCGCGGCTTGGGACCGCAGTCAGGAGCCTCCCTCCCTCTGGCTCCGGGGGTCCCAGGCCACCCGAACGCGGGCGAAAGGGGGCCCATCCCGTGCCCCGAAACTTACCACGCAGGAGGCCGGTCCCCAGAAGCAGCAGCAGCGGGGGCAGCAGCCGCGGCGCCCCGGGGCCCCCGAGCTCCATGGCGCACGCACCTCGCGGGCTCTAGATGCGGGCGGCTCCCGGCTCCCCCCGGCTCCGAGGCCCGTGCGCGCCCAACTTCATGCCTCCCGCGCCTCGCGGGCCGCTTCGGCCGCTGGGCCCGGTTCCGCTTCTCCTGCGGGGCGCGGTGCGGCGGCGGCGGGGCCGGGAGCGCCGGGCTGTGGGCTCCGTGGCGCGGCCCCGCCCGGCCCTGCCCGCCTCAGCCGGCTGGGAGGGGGAGCAAGGGAGGGGAGAGGAGGGGGAGCAGAGGAGGGGGAAGAAGGGGAGGGGGAAGTAAGGGGGGAGGGGACGGAGAGAGGGAAGGGAGGAGGGAGCAAGGGCCGGGGAGAAGGAGCGGTGACGGACCGCGCGCCCAGGGGGACGGGGAGGCTGCGCTGGGCCCCGGGCAGGGGTAAAGTTTCCTTGTCCTCCCGGGGTTCCAGACGTGCCTGAGTCAGGGATGGGGACCCCGGGGTCACTGCGTGTGACTGGGGGGTCCCGGAGCGGGTCTGACCTCCCTCCCCACATCTCCAGCCTGGGCGCCCGCTGCCTGCCTGGAGGGGTGGGGGCGCGTCTAGGGGATCCGGCGCAAGGAGAGGCGCCCCTAGCACATCTGGGTTACTCCATCGCGCCAGCCCGTGTCTGCAGCCTGAAAATCTCGGGTCTTGTTCTCCCGCTAGCCGTTCAGGACTCTCTCCGCCTGCAGCCCCCGCCTCCCCGGTACCTCCGCCAGGACCCAAGAGGCGTCCAGAGGGGAGCCCAGGCCCCGCGACCGCCTTCTGGTGAGGAAGATCCCCTCCCCCTCAAGGTCCAGCCTGGGGTCAGGGTCTGTCGGCCCCCACCCCTTGCGTGGCCTGCGAGCCCCGTGGACTGCGTGGCATGAAGTCACGCCCCCATCCCCCCTGCAGTGGGTGAGGGCGTGTAACAGAGCGTCTCCCCGGCCGGGTGCTTGGAGAGCAGACCCGAGGCGCCCCTGGCCTGGCATTGAACAATACGGGTCGCCCCCAGAGGTGGCGCATGGTCCCCAGGGAAGGGCCCCGCCCTCAGGTGGGTGGCGAGGTGGCCGCCCACAGAGTGGCAGGTGCGTTGGAGGAGGGGCGCCTTGTGCGGCTGAACTTCATGTGCAGGAGGAGAGGGCACTGGCTCTGCAGAAACATCAGACCCGGCCATCCCTGCAGCCGCGCCCCTGGCCCAGCCTCAGGCTCTGCCGCTGGGACACAGCCCCGGAAAACGGAGACTTCCGTCGTCGGTAATGGAGGGCAGAGCAGAAGGGGCTGGAGAGGTCCCGAGACCCTCCGCTTTCACGCCCCTCCCTCCAAGGCTGCAGGTCGGGCGACGGAGCTGTCAGTCAGGAGTCCCCTGGAGCAACCCCCACTCCGGTACAGGCCTCTGGAGCCTTACAGCTCCCTTCCTATCGACTCTCCCATCTCCTCTGTCCCCACCCCCCACCTTCCTTCTCCTCCCCCCAGCTTCTCTGAGCAGCCACTGCTCCTGCCCACCTGCCTCTCCCCTCTCTGCCCACCTCTCCTACACTCCCGATTCCAGGCTGAGCTCATGGCTCCTCATACACCTGCTCTGGGATGGGCAGGAGCTCCTCCTCACTGGCCGGAGCTGTCTGTCTGCTCTGTGGGCAGTGCCTGCAATTAGAGCTTTCAGAATGCACAGCTGCTGCGCAGTGGCCGGTCCCGCGGCAACACCTGGCCTGCTTCTGTGGCCCTCCCAGTGCTGCTGGCCCAAACGAGCTGGATGCAGGGACCCCCTGCACTTCCACGGCCCCCTCAAGGTGGGCTCTTAAGAGATAATGCAGGTGCAGAGAGGTTAAGCAGCTTGCTGAAGCTCACACAGCAGTACTGGGATTCCAACCCAAGCCATCTGGCTTTAGGGTCTGCATCCCGGCCTCCTGCTGGCCTCAGGTGTAGTTTTGGGCTGAGGTGCCCTTACTGGGACAGATCCCAGGTCTGCTTTCCTGCAGTCTTTCCTGGAGCCACCGGTCTCCACCACTCACCCTGCTGACGGCTCTCCCTCAGACTACCCTGCAGATCCAACCCTCAATGGTTTCAAGGTCCTGTTTCCCTAGGCAGACTGAAGTCCCCCAAGGAAGGATTCCCTCTCTTCCTCCTCCTCTCCTTGCTCTCCCCAAGCCCCTGGGCAGTGCAAGACCCTGGTCCTTCTGGTCTACATGAAGCCCCTCCATGGGCAAGTTCTGTGCCAGGAACTAGAAGGTTCCAAGCTGGATGGAGATTTGGGCTGAGCAAGCAGCTGGTAAACACAGGGAGGGGAGAAGAGCAAAGTCCCCCTGAGGCCCCGTGAGGGCAGCCTGCTGACCTCTGACCCACTCACAAAACCCCACCCCCGCTCCCTGCGGCACAGCCCACGAGGCTCCCTGCTCAGGAAGGGGACGGAGAGGTGGCAAGGCTGGTGGCTCCTGCCCAGGATAGAGCAGCCTGTGCCCTTTGGTTCAGGCCCCACCTTGGTGAGAAACCCCTGCCTGTGGTGTCGCAGAACAAATGCCATTGGCAGAGCTGATTCCACATTCTTTTGTTGGTGGAGAGGCCAGCCACGCCGCGGTCCCGGCTGGAGTCCCTGTGAAACGGGGTTATCGTTTCTCTGACTTGGCAGCTGGTCGAAACGGGGCTCATCTGCTGCTGATAAAGTGATGTCCGCCTCGTGGGTTCCACGCCCACACCCTGTGCCCCACCCTCCCGTGGCAAACCAAAGACCCCTTTGGGAAGAGGATGCCCCTGCTCCTGCGCTTGGGCTCATGGTTTCGCCCTGGACTTGCTAAAATTGAGGCCTCCTGCAGAGGTTATCTGGGGTCAGAGCAGGGGAAGGGGCGTGTGGTGAGCTGGGTGAATCCCTGAAGGGCAGCCTGAGGGCCACGGGCGTCCACTCAGCTGAGCACAGAGGAGTTTGTTTAACTCCAGATTCTGGAGCCTCACCCTCAGACATGGTTCAGTCTGGGGTGAGGCCTCCACATCTGTGGCTTCCACCAGCCATTGCTGGGCAACTCTGATGCAGGCAGCCTCGGGGTGCCCCGAGAAATGTCGGCTTAGAGCCACTTGACGCAGGGCTGATGCAGAGGGTCAGTGTCCCCCATCCCAGCCAGGGCTCAGCCTGAGCCTGGTGTCCTGGCCTGGGGCAGGGGCTGGAATTTGCCCCGCGTTGGTGCAGGGGAAGAGGCCATGGGCCTCTCGGCAGGAACCTGGCAGAGGCTGTGAGGTTAAGCCAGCTTTGCCTTTCTGTCTCCTGCTCACTTTTCTAACAAAACAGGCCTAGGCTTCCACAGGGTCCAGCGGTCTCAAGCCTGTGGCTCTCCCTGGTGGATTCCCGCAGGTGAGTTCACTCTGAGAACTCAGCCAGGGCCAGCAGGCCTGTCTCTCCCGGAGCCAGGGGCCAGGCCAGGTCAGCTGGATGTCCAAGGCTCTGGCGACACAGCCCTGCGGCCAAGTGCGCACGCTCACACGCATCTGTCCAACCTCGCCCGCTTCCCCTTTGGATTTGCTAATACAGCAAGATTAATCGGGTCTAACTCATTAATTTGCACAGCCCCTCCCTTCCACCTGTGCCCGCTGGAGAGCGCTGGTTGTGGGAACCCAGTAATCACCGAGGCTGAATTAGATTCCGACTCTGCGTCCTGGCCCTTGCCTCTGCTGCTCCTGAAATTTCTGCTGCAAGGGAAACAAAAGCTCTGGGTTCAAAGTCCAGTGAGACCAGATTTGGGGGCACAGTTCTTCCTTGGCCTGAGTCGCCCTAGGGGACTTGCGGGTGGGTTTGGGGACACAGCCAGGTCCTTGCAGACACCAGCCCCCCTACCCCCACCCATGTCACCACCAACTCCAGGCTGTCACTGGCTACGGTGCAAAGCAGCTGCCCCGGGAGGACGGCTCTGGGGGTGGTTTTTCTCCCTCCCTCACTGCCCTCCACCTGCCCATGGTGACCAAGGGTTTGTAGTAAAGGTGAGAGCATTGAGGGGCACCAGCTGAGCCTGAGCTGCACCCGAGGAGATGGCTGCGGGAGGCAGAAGGCACCACACTGTGGGCTTAGCCCGTGGACGGGGGGCTCTGCCTGTGCTCCCATCACCCCCGAGGACTCAGGACCTGGGCTCAGGACCAAAACCCTCTGTGGGGCCAAGTCACTTGCACCCCATGTGTGAGGCCTGAGCACGACACCACGCTTTGCTGGTCACCTGAGTCTGGCCTGCGTCCCTCCCACCCTGTTCCTCTGAGGCGGGAAAACGACGAGGCCACACTAGTGAGCAGCCACGTCGGCCCCCAGGCCACCTGCCCCTTCACAGACATGAGTAACCCATAAATGAGAGTGGCCTCCTGGAGCCTCACCAGAGCCCAGGTGCTCCCGCAGGCTCGGCTCCCTGCCCCCGGCTGTGCTCCCAGCTCCCTGCCCTCCCTACCCTCTCCTGGTGCTCCCTGCCCTCCCTACCCTCTCCTGGTGCTCCCTGCCCTCCCTACCTTCTCCTGGTGCTCTGCCCTGCAGGGAACAGACAGTGCTTTTCCTCCGGCTGAGAGAGGAGCTCTTGGAGCCCTGTCTGTCCATTTTACTCAGCCCAGGTTTTGAAGACCGTTAAGTGTAGGAGAAACATGGGAACTGGGCCCAGATTGCCAAAGGTGCAACGCGTTCTCCTCACGCCCCCTCTTTCCCCACCTGCAGCTGCTTTCATCCTGGGCCCTGGCTAGAGCTGCGTTTGCTGAAAAGCTGTAGGGCACAGCTGCTGGGGTGATAGTGGGAGACGGAAAGGTTGGTTGAGAGGCCTGATTCCTTCCAAACATCACAACCTGAAAATCACCAAAGGTTTTCCTTGTTGAGAAGGAGTGAATGGCAGCACCGGAAGCCAAGGCCCCTCCCCACCAAGACGCCAGCAGCTGATCCCCACCTTCCCAACCAAAGCCACGAAGCAGAGGCTGAGCCGAGCCAAGGTCAGGGCCTGGGGCCACGGTGGATTTCCTCCCGTGGGGACGTCCTTAACGTCCGCAGCTCGGGCCTGAGGGTCTGCCACCGGACCCAGCAGCTGCCACAGGTGTCCTGGCTCGCCGGGTGTCTCTGGCTCAGGGCCGGGGCTGTCTGCAACTCCCCTCTCCCCTGAGCCCTCTGAGTGGGGTTCCCCAAGCTCCGAGGGGCTCCCGCCACACCTGGGCTTCCTGGGGGCTCTTTGTAGACAGTGACTGATCTCCCATTGGCTCCAGTTTCGTGGCTGTGTTTCTGCCCCTCCCTCCACACTCCCTGCCTCTCTGCTGAGTAGCTAATTCACTCCAAGCACGCTCCAGAGGAAGCCTCCAGCCTCACAGTGGAACTGCAGCCATGCATGAGAATGATCCGGCACCCAGGTCTGCCTCCAAGTCCCGCTGATGGCCCAGAGACCGTGCAGTGGGAAGGTTGGCAGCGAGCTGAGGGTTGGAACTCTGGCTGCGCCCCTGCTGCCAGGGTACCTCAGGCAAGTCATCTTGTTCTCTGAGCCTTAGTTTCCTCAGCGGTGGGGACGGTTCCAGTCCTGAGTCACTGGGCCGTTGTGAGGATGGAGATGAGGTCATGCAGGCTCCTGGGTCCTCGCTGGAGCCATCCAGCAGTTATTCTTCTGCACTCTCAGGGGAGCCCTTGCCAGCATCTGAGGGTCACGGTTCAGTGGCTTCAGGGTCTGGACAGGGCCGGAGGCCAGGCCCAATGTGGTGCAGCCAGGGGAGAGGGCAGGCCCTGGGGGCCGTGGGCCATCAGCTCACAGCCACATCAGGGGCCAGGAATCCCACTCAGGGCTCAGCCCCAGGCTCCCCCCAGCACCCCCTCCCAATCCAGAGGACACTTCCAGCCCTGAGCAGTGGGCTCTGGGCAAGCGTCTGGAGAGGGAGTGCTTCTCGGCTCTTTGTGAGGAATTTCGTCCTGACAGGTCACTGGCACAGAAAAGCCCTTTGTCCCAGCCAGCTGGCTGCCTGCTAATGATGTCCAGCCTGCACCCTTCCAAGGCCACCTCTGAGTCCAGAAAGGATGGAGCTGGCTCCTGCCTGGGAGGCACAAGGGCCACAGTTTCGCTGGGGTCGGGGTGGGGAGGGTGGGTGGAGGCTCCGAACACCTCTGCACGTTGCCCCGGAGCTGCGGACGGAGCTCAGGTGGCCGCCAAGACTTGCTGTAGATCCGGTGACCCCTCCAAGGAGAGTGCTGAGTCCTGGAAAATTCTCTTCCTCCTCCTCCACCTCCCTGTCACCTTGCCCTCTCCTGTGTTCCCCAACCAGGACCCCAGTAGAGAGGAGACCCCTGCCGTTGTGGATGTGGCTTTCCCCAGTGCCCACGAGACCCCTGGGGCCTGGCCCCTCTGGGCCCATGGAAGCTCCCATGAGTTTCTCATGCACGGTGAGGGCCTCACACCCTGCCCTCTGGCTGCCCCTCCTCCCTAGGGCATGTACCCAGCGCCCATCTCAGCCTCCCCAGGCATATCAGGGCCCCCACTTTCTGGGGTATGTGTGAGCCACGGGACCCCGAGTCAGGAGATCCATGCCTAAGCCTGATTCTGCCCCCTCCAGGTTCGGGACCCTGGGCAAGTCCTCCCACCCGTCTTAGCCCAGCCTCCCCACCCATAAAATCGGGGCTGCTTGTCCTGGCTCTGAGGCTTTTCGAGCAGGCCTGTCTCTAACTGAGGGAGGGTGCTGCAAACTCCAGAAGGCCCCGTCCCAGGGAACACTGGGGGGAACCGTCAGAGAAGCGACCCCTGGACCAGAGCCCTGAGTGGGCTTTCTTCCCCTCCCCACCCTGCTGAGACCACCCAAACCTTGTTAAGATCAAAGGTTCCCCGGGGAGCCACACAGCCATGCTGGACACTCCCTGCCAGACCTTCTAGACCAATTCCTGGGGACCCACGTCCCACAAACACCAGCTGGAAAAGGCAGCAACATGGGGTCTCCCTCCCCCTCAGCCAAAGTGAACTGTCAGCAGGTGTCTCCCCGCTGCTGAGAAGGAGCCAAGGGACCAGGATGGCTGCTGGCTCCTGCAAGTGGAGAGGGTCTCCCTGGGGCCTGAACTGGCTGAGGTCACAGCAGGTGAGGAAGCTCTGGACAGTCCCGGCATCTCCACCAAAGTCAGCAGAATGGCTGCAGGCCCAGAGGCACAAAGCACAGATCATTTTCCTGTGTGTGTATGTGGGATGTGTGTGTGCATGAGATGTGTGCACAGTGTGTGTGTGCATGAGACTGTTGGACACTCCCTGCCAGATCCTCTAGGACTAATTCCTGGGGACCCACGTCCCACAAACACCAGCTGGAAAAGGCAGCAACATGGGGTCTCCCTCCCCAGCCAAAGTGAACTGTCAGCAGGTGCTCCTGCTACAGAAGGGCTGCTGGACCAGGATGGCTGCTGGCTCCTGCAAGTGGAGAGGTTCCCTGGGGCCTGAACCAGCTGAGGTCACAGCAGGCAGGAAGCTCTGGACAGTCCTGGCATCTCCACCAAAGTCAGCAGAATGGCTGGGTAGGCCCAGAGGCACAAAAGCACAGATCATTTTCCCGGTGTATGGGATGTGTGTGCATGAGATGCAGCACAGCATGTGGCATGAGATGTATGAGATGCACAGGTGTGGCATGATGTGTGTGTACAGGTGCAAGTGCAACTGCGCCTGCAGATTTACAATAGAAAGGCACATGCAGGATGTGTGTGTGCATGAGATGTGTGCACAGTGTGTGTGTGCATGAGATGTGTGTGTACAGGGTGTGGGTGCACCAGGCTTGTAGATGCATGCACAGGGTGCGTGTGCACACGTGTGTGTGCATGGACTGTGTTTCATGAGATGTATGTGTATACAGGGTGTGTGTGTGCATGTGGTACATGTTTGAGATGTGCCCTGTGTGTGCACGCACAGTATGTGTGTGTGCAGTGTGTATGTGTGCATGGAGTGTGTGTACACAGGGCTTGTATATGCACAAACACAGTGTGTGCACAGGAGCATTTTTTCACAGGCATGAGTGTGACAGTCACCTGCTGACAGGTGGCCTCACCCCTGCCCTCTGTCCCAGAGCCCGGCCCCAGGGCCTCTGCTCATTTACCCCAACATCCCCTGCCCAGCTCTTCTGCCTGGGAGGGTCTCGTGCAGAGGGGTGTGGCCCACATGTTGGCAGCCTCAGTCTCTCCGTGTTGTTTTCCCTGGATCTGGGGGTGGGGACCCCCATAGCACTGCCTTTTTCAGCCTGTAGTTATGGGATCTCAGGTCCCCAGGCCCAGGGGCTAATTTCAGAGGGCGAGGCTTCCTTTGCCAGGCAGTTGAATTTTCACATCAGCAAATTCCTCTGAAAGTCGGGGCAGAGGGTCGGCTTTATCCCCACAGCCGCTAGGGGTCCTTGGGCATCCTCAAGCTCTGCCTCCCAGCACCGGCTGCCGCAGACTCCTGAGGCCGCTTGGGGAACTCGCAGCCTGCAACTCGGGCACCTTTCATAATGTCGGGAAAGCAGGGCGCTGCTGTCACGCTTGGCCAAGTGCAGGACACCTGAATGCCTGGTGCCAGGCCCACCCTCCCGCGGCAGCGTCGGCGCCAAGTCTGGGACCCTGCCTGCCTGCTGAGTTCTCCAGGAGCTCAGTTCTTCCTCCACTCAGTGCCTCCTCCCACCTGTCCCTCCTCAGCCCTGCCCTCCCCAGCACTCAAGGCAAGAACAGGACCACACCTCAGTCAACCCCTCCTCATTCCCAGCCCCACCCACCCTCCTGGCCTGGTGTGGGGCCAGCACTGCCACAAGTGTGCCCCATGCCAGAGTCTCCTCATGCCCTGGCCCCAGCTGGGGGCCCACAGCAAGCCCCCACAGCCTGGTCTCCTTCCTTACAGGAAGGGGACACTGGACACTTGACCCCCTACAGGGACCCCAGAGCCAGGCCTGGGTGAAGGTGCCTTTGGGAGGAGGCGGAGGAGTGTATCGATTGGGACCCAGATGGACAGGTCCCTGTGAGCCGGCACAGGTCCTTGGTGGGTGAGTGCCAGGTTGCCCTCACGGGGACTTTGCACTCTGAGCAGGAGGGACAGCTCAGGTGCCGCCCGCCTTGGGTTTCTGGGCATAGCTTTGGGGGCAGGGGTCGTTTGCAGCATGGAGCCCTTGTCAGCTTCCAGCATGTTCTAGCATTTGTCATGCCAGATGGATTGTCGCCAGCGTCTGGGGTGACATTATTATTCTGTTACTCCCATGATGACAGAGCCAAGGGCTGGGGAGAGGGACCCAGTTCAGCCTGACCGAGCCCAGGGCCCTTCTCCTTCCTCCACCATCACAGCTTCTTGACACCCCATTCCCCAAACCCGGGACCCCAATGCCCGGGGACTCGGGCTGCCCCCGCCTCAGCCCCAGGAGATGAGCCCTGTCCTCCCCAGCCGTGCCGGAGGGTTCTGTCAACCAGCGCTGCTTCCTTATCAACAAGGACATGTCTACAAATAGCTCATCACGTCTCCAATCCAGAAGTGCTGTGTCGTTTCAAAAATGAGCAGAGCCAATGCAGCCGCCAGCCCAGCCGCGGCTACCTGGGCAAGGCTGCCGGTTCATGAATATTCACGGCTCCGATGGCTCCGCGAGCCTCCTCACCATCCGGAATTAAACCAACGAGCTTCCCCTCACAGGCTGCACTCACTGACTTTCAGCTCCTCTCCAAATCGTTCTCTTCCTTGCAGCAGATGGGGACGTGGGGCGGCCTCCACCCTCCTCTGTGCCTGGGCTGTTGTGGCACCAGCACCTTTGCCCCAGTTCCCCATCTCTTAGGCGCTTGACACGTGTCTGCCCCGTTCTCAGGGAGGCCTGGACCCTGTCCCAGCCCTGGTGGGGATAATTACCCCGATGTTCGTTTGCAGCGTTTAATTTGCTTCCTCCGTGCTGGAAGCCCACGTTTGGCGATGTGTGTGTTAGGATGGCCACGTGTCCTTCCCCCATCAGCGACAGGATCTGGGGAGGCCAGGGAGGCTCCTCATTACGCTCCCAGCACCAAGCCCAATCACAGACGTTGCACATGGAGGCACCAGACCCTGCCTGTGGGGAGAGTGGCTGCCAGCTGGGGCACCCGGACGTCCCTGCGTGCCCTGTGCTGGCACAAGGCAGCTCTTCTGTGCTTCCGTGGTGCCTGCGGTGAGGCTGCCTGGGACGCCCCCTGTAGATGCTGCCTCCAGGGTCTGCTGCAAGGAACGGGGAGAACGGGCTTGTGGTGCTGGGGCCTTGTGTGAGGTGGGATGCTGCAGACCGGAAGAGTGGGTGGCCTGGAGCTGCTCTGTCTCCAAGCACTGACCACAGCCCGCCTCTGCGTAGGTCCAGGAGAAGTGGCAGGGCTGGGTGCCACCACCTGTGAGCCCCTGAACCTCCCCAGGCTGCCAGATCTCACTTCAGAGTGGCCCTGGGCTTCGACGGAGGGGCCTGGGCGTGGCCTCAGGTCAGTTCAGGTGAAGACTCTATTCCTGGCTCAGGAAAGCCACCAGGACAGGTGAGCCCCGCGGCACCTGGTGCAGTGAGGCTTTGAGTCCCGTGAGAACAATGACAGGACACCGGGGCTGCCACCGGTCACAGAGACCCTGCGTCGACACCCTCGTTTTGAGGTGCAGAAACCAAAGTTGAGACCTGGCCACGCAGCAGGTCTGCAGGGACCTCAGAGCCCAGGGCCACTGTGCTGTCCCCAGTCCCATTAAATGCCCAGGGCCACTGTGCTGTCCCCAGTCTCATTAAGTGCAGTAAACGTCTTCTGGGCATGCCACCAGCCCCACAGAAAACCAAAGCAAAGCAGATTCACAGCTCCCGCATCCCGGAGCTCAGGCCCAGGAGGGTCTCTGGAAAGGATGGGGCAACTGGAATACTGTCCTAGTCCCGTCTCAGCCCCAGGGCACCGCAGGGGTCTCTCTTGCAGGTGTGTGGTTGGTTTTAGAAGATGCTGAGCCCCTCCCTGCGCACTCGTCCCCACCTGCCTGGCCCTGGCACACCTGGCTGCTTCTCATTCGGGCCTTGAATGAAAGGCCCCCTTCCCAAGAGTCCTCCCTGACTCCCCTCTCACAGGAAGGGTCTCTCCTGTTCCCCGCCATGGAGAGTGTTGGTCAATTCTCTCTCCCCAGCCAACCGCGGGGCCCAGGAGGGCTGCACCTGCCTTGGCCATCCCAGACCCACCACCCAGGGCAGACCCTCCACCCAGGGCAGAGCCTCGGGCATGGTTGAAGGCGGGAAGGGCTGAAGATGAGGGTGGGTGGTGAGAAAAGGCCTCTGGACGGCAGGGACTTAGACATGGTTCCAAGTATGGACGCGGGGAACAGCTGGGGGCCGTGGGCCCCTGCAGGCCTGACAGAGGAACCCACGGGACTGACTTTTCCTACAGAAAATCCTGTGCAGGGAGATCAAATCCCGGCATCCCAGAGGGAAGCCCTGTGCCGGCCGTGAGCTGCCCACAGCTGCCTGACCCCAGTCTTCTCCAATGAAGTGGCTCTGAGAGGTTTTGTGGTCAGTATCATTTCTGTGTTTGATTTTAGCGCCTGGTCTGGACGGCAAGCAGGAAGAGCTCAGAGCCTCCTCCAGTGTCTCGGGGTGCAGCCAGGAGGAGCTGCCTCGCCCCTGCCTCTGCCTCTGGCTCCCTGCCTCTGCCTCGCCCCTGCCTCTGCCTCGCCCCTGCCCCACTGCCTGGCTCTCACCTGCAGCCTGAGAGGAGTCCAGGCCTGGGCTCTCGAGTCTCTCTCTGGCCCACGGGAGGGGCACACCCGGGTCCCCCCCAGCACCACTGGAAGAGCCTGTTCAGAGACGCAGGCCATCGCCCCTGCTCCTGCTGGAACGTGCAACCCAGAGGCCCTACAAGCACCTCATGCTGCCTCCCTCTTTGTGATCCCCCAGCCCGGCCCTCAGTTAACTGAGTCCCTGCCTGGTAAACGTGCAGCAACACGGCCACAGCAGGCTCGGCCCAGCCCCGGCGCCTCCCCGGGTTCTGGTGCTCAGGCAGTTTCCTTCACCTACGTAAGCCCCGACTTTCTCATCTGTAGAGTGGGACGAACGACGCCCAGTGCTCAGCGTGATATCAGAAGAGCCCAAGACAGTGGAGGGCTCAGCACAGAAGACCCGTCCATCCGCAGAATCGCACCGAGAGCAGCTCCTTCAAGGGAGCCCGGGACGCCCCGGGAAGCCACCCTCAGTGACAGGCCCCAGCCGAGGGCCGAACGGGCCAGGGGCTCGGCCGGGGGAACCCCGGGGCTGAACGGGCCGGGGGCTCGGCCGGGGGAATCCCGGGGCCGAACGGGCCGGGGGCTTGGCCGGGGAAACCCCAGGGCTGAACGGGCCAGGCTGGACTGAGGGACACTGCCGGGGGCTCGGCCGGGGAGAACCCCAGGGCTGAAGGAGCTGGGGGCTCAGCTGGGGAACTCCAGGGCTGAATGGGCCAGGCTGGACTGAGGGACACTGCCTGGGGCTCGGCCAGGGAGAACCCCAGGGCTGAACGGGCCAGGGGCTTGGCCAGGGAGAACCCCAGAGCTGAAGGTCAAGGCCACTGCAAGGCCCCGGGCTCAGGGGAGAGTGGGGACACAGGACCCATCCTCCTCATCTCAGGCTGGTCCTTTTCCCTCCCATGTGGGGGCACCATTGCCAGGCCAATGCCAGTCACTCTGTGATGACCAGGTTGGAGAAAAGCTGAGAACCCCAAGTACTGGGCAAATCCAGAGTCTCGTGTCTTCAAACCAGAGGACGTGAAAAGCTAAGTCAAGAGGTCGGCTTCTTCCACGAGTCCCCACGCTGGGCATTGCCTGGAAGTGAGGGCCTGATGGATTGTCAGGCCAGATACCTAAGGGGAAGGGAGCGGTCGGGGCAATGCCCTGGGCAGGGCGCTGGCTTGGGATGGAGGGAGGAGGGTCTCAGAGTGGCAGGCTTAGGCAGACAGCTCACTCATCCCCGCCTCCAGCGCCCTCGGCCCCTCCACATCAAACTTCCGGTTCATGAACCTCCTCCACGCTGGGAGGTGGAGGCCGGGGAAACCGCTAATTAAGGTTGCCGCACTTTGGCTTCCGGCTTAGTTAGCTGCAACAGCCCCAGTGCCTGCAGGGGCTCTTTTCTGTCTCCCACAGAGACGCCCAGGAGGCTGAGCCAGGCAGTGCCCATGGGTGGGTCCTGTGTCTCCTGCGGGCTCCACAGGCATGGGCGGAGTTCCACCTCCAGCCGGCCTGATGGGGCAGAGACACTTCCCCTCAAAGAGATGCACGGTTTTAATAGGCTCTCTGTGCCCAAGCTGAACTGGCTGGATGCAACCTCTAGGGAGGAGGTGGGCAGGTGGGAGGCAGTCAGGGCCCCCCCCCACTCCCTGCGTCCCTGGAGACAGTGCCCAGCGTCTCACCAGAGGTGCCATCTCAGCAGCACGTGACAAAGGCATAAGGTTACGGCTTCCCTGGCCCCCAGGATGCGTCCCAGGGTTGGGCAGGGCTCACCCTCACCAGGGTTTAGGACATACCTGGTGTCCACTCTGGAGTCAGCTGACCTGGCCCAGCCCCGAGGTCTCTCCTCCACCTGTCTGGCTCTAGGACAGTCGCAAGCCGCTGTGTTGGGTGGCGTTTCTTTTTTTTTTTTTTTTTTTTTTTTTTTTGAGGCAGAGTGTAGCTCTGTCGCCCAGGCTGGAGTGCAGTGGCCAGATCTCAGCTCGCTGCAAGCTCCGCCTCCCGGGTTCACGCCATTCGCCATTCTCCGGCCTCAGCCTCCCGAGTAGCTGGGACTACAGGCGCCCGCCACCTCGCCCAGCTACTTTTTTGTATTTTTTAGTAGAGACGGGGTTTCACCGTGTTAACCAGGATGGTCTCGATCTCTTGACCTCGTGATCCGCCCACCTCGGCCTCCCAAAGTGCTGGGATTATAGGCTTGAGCCACCGCGCCCGGCCTGGGTGGCGTTTCTAACCTTGTTCTATCCACAGAACTCGTTTTCAAAAGAAAGTTTACATGACAGAACAAGAAAGTTTACGTGACAGAACAAGAAAGTTTACGTGACAGAACAAGAAAGTTTACGTGACAGAACAAGAAAGTTTACATGACAACTATTCAGAAGAAGGAAGAAGCAGAGGCCTTAGCTGAGGTTTTGGTGGTGCCGAGTCAGATCCACCGGCCTGAACTCCACCAGCCCGTACCCCTTCAGCCCTGCACCCCAAAACCCTGTACCCCTTCAGCCCTGCACCCCAAAACCCTGTACTCCTTCAGCCCAGCACCCCAAAACCCTGTACCCCTTCAGCCCTGCACCCCAAAACCCTGTACCCTTCAGCCTGCACCCCAAAACCCGTACCCCACCACCCGTACCCCACCACCCCGTGCCCCACCACCCTGTACCCCACCACCCCATACCCACACCCCATACCCCTTCAGCCCTGTACCCCACCACCGTGCCTCTGCCACCCCGCACCCCACCACCCATTGCCCCACACCCACCCCACCACCCCGTGCCCCATCACGCCTGCACCCCACCACCCGTACCCCACCCAGCACCCCATCACCCCGCACCCCCACCACCCTGTGTACCCCACCCCGCACCCCACCACCCTGTACCCCACCACCCACGTGCCCACTACCCAATTACCCCATCACCCCGCACCCCACCACCCCGTACCCCACCACCCCTGCACCCCACCACCCGGTACCCCACCACCCGTGCACCCCATCAACCGGTACCCCACCAACCCGTGCCCCACCACCCCTGCACATACCCCGTGCCCCACCACCCTGCCCCACCACCGCACCCCATCACCCCGTACCCCACCACCCTGTACCCCACCAGCCCTGCACCCCATCACCCCATACCCCCACCACCCCCCTTACCCCACCACCTGCACCCCCACCACCCCATATACCCACCACCCCTGCACCCCAACCCAGCCCTGCACCCCACTACCCACCCCACCACCCTGTACCCCACCAGCCCGCACCCCACCACCCCGTACCCCACCACCCCGTACCCCATCACCCTGTACCCCACCACCCCGTACCCCACCACCCCTGCACCTTCAGCCCTGCACCCCTTCAGCCCCTGCACCCCACCACCCCGTACCCCACCACCACCCTGTACCCACCAGCCCACCACCCCACCACCCCGTACCCCACACCACCCTGTACACCCCACACCACCCCCTGCACCCCACCACCCCGTACCCCACCACCCCAAGTACCCCACCACCCCTGCACCCCTTCAGCCCTGCCCCACCACCCCGTGCCCACCACCCCGTCTGCCCCCACCACCCCTGCACCCCACACCACCCTGTGCCCCACCACCCTGTACCCCACCAGCGCACCCCCACCACCCCGTACCCCCACCAGCCCCTGCACCCCATCACCCCGTACCCCACCACCCTGTACCCCACCACCCTGTACCCCATCACCCCGTACCCCACCAGCCCTGCACCCCCATCACCCCGTACCCACCACCCTGTACCCACCACCCTGTACTCCACCACCGTACCCCACCACCCTTACCCCACCACCTGCACCCCACCACCCGTACCCCACCACCCCTGCACCCTTCAGCCCCTGCACCCCTTCAGCCCTGCACCCACCAACCCCGTACCCCACCACCCTGTACCCCATCACCCTGTACCCCATCACCCCTGCACCCCACCACCCTGTACCCCACCACCCATGCCCCACTGCCCCCTGCACCCCCACCACCCCGTGCCTACTGCCCTGCACCCTATCAGTTCTGTACCCCATCATCCCCACACCTCAGCTCTGCACCCAACAATCCCTGAACCCACCCCACCACCCCGTACCCCACCACCCCTGCACCCTATCAGTTCTGTACCCCATCATCCCCACACCCCACCAGCTCTGCACCCAACAATCCCTGAACCCCAGCAGCCCTGTATCCCACAAGCACTGTACCCCAATCCCTACCACCTCTGTACCCCCAACTGGCCCTACGCTGCTACCTCCCTTGCACCCCCACCAACCCTGACCCCCATCACTCCTGTATCCTCCAGTCAGCCCTGTATCCCACCCCCACACTCCCCACCAGCCCTGTACCCCCACCAGCCCCGTACCCCCACCAGCCCCGTGCCCCCACCAGCCCCACACTCCAGCCCCAGCTCCCTGTGCAGACTCCGAGGCATTTCCCAGGAACCCAGGATTCCAGGAAGCACCGTTCAGAAACTACCTGGTCTGCTTGTGTCTGTAACTCAGATCTTGTGTCAACTTTCTCAGCAATAAGTGATACTCACTTTGGGGGAGAAGCTACTCCCAGGTTCACTGATTTTTCTCTTTGTACACTTTTCTTTTAATGAATTTTTAATTCCATAGGTAAAACACAAATAGGTTTTCCTTAGAAAAGAGTTCAAAGCAGCCAGACAAAGGGAACTTCCCATGACGGCTGCCCAGTACCCGCTGTGGAGGAAGCGGGGGGTGGGGGGAGGGCAGGCGTGCCCCTCCCTCTTCACTGCTTTCCCACAGCGGGGTGTGGGGTAGGGGTGTCGAGGTCGGGGCCCCTCCCTCTTCACTGCTTTCCCACAGCGGGGTGTGGGGTAGGGGTGTCGAGGTCGGGGGGGAGCCCAGGAGCAGAGGTATGAGGCGCAGGTCCCCACCCTGAGAGTACACAAGGGCCTCTGTGGGAGCTGCTGACCTTTGCGGGCTCGTTGGCCACCAGCTTGGGTCAGCAGTCTGGGCAGAGGCCACACAACCTGGGCCCCTCGGGACAGGTTCCCTGGAAGAGAGGTTCCTGTTTTCACCCTTGACGCACGGTTCAGAGGCCAAGCAAACCAAGTGTCTGTGGCAGGTGGGTCGGCAGCTCACATCCAGGGCCCCCTGCCTAGGCTCGGTGCCAAGGCCTCTGGGAGACCCCTCTTTATGCAGCCCTCGGGGTCACGGTCTGCAGGCTCTCAGGCATCTGCTCTGAGGACACCTCAACCCAGGGCTGCCAGGGGCGCAGCTCTGCCCCTGGCCACTCTGGTCAAAGGGCCGCCGTGGAGCTGTGCCAGGGAAAGCCCCTCCCTGTGGGCCTCCCCGACCTGGGTGGGCTGGCGAGTGGCTTTGCCTGGGAGAAATAAAGGCTCTGGGTGTAGACACAGCAGAGGAACTGGTGGGCCCACCAGAGAGCCCCCGGGCGACTGCCGGGACTGAGGACCTGGGTTTCCCCATGATCCCTCCTTGGGGGGTGGGGGCAGAGGGAGCCCCCATTCAGCTATCTGGGGAGCTCAGTTCTTTGGCCCTTGGCCTGGGCTGAGAGCCAGGGGCACCCAGGCCCCTCCAGCTGGGAGCTGCGCCGGGGAGGGGTGTCTGGAGGGAGCATCAGCAGCCAGTCATGGTAGCGGCTTTGCCTCTGCACACCCAGACCAGGCAGGGAGAAACGGGGCAGGCTTCCATCCCACGGCTGGCTTTGCCGAGACGTTTCTAAATAAATGAGCTTTGCGGGGCGGCAGGTTGATGCATCTGGAGTGTGGGGTCTCCTCCAGCTTCCGGAGCACATGCCTCCCACTGCACCACCACCTCCCCGGCTCTCTGAGGAAAATTCATTCATCTTTCAACGCCTCATCCCTGGCGAGACCATCCAGGCCCATCCCCCACCCCGAATAGCCTGTGCGTGTTTCCATAGCAACCTGCATGTGCCTCTGCCGGTCACATTTCATGAGGCCGTGAGCTCTTTGGAGGCACGGCCTTGACTTGAATCATTCACAGGGTGCAGAGTGGACGGGTGAACCGTGACCCGAAGCCAGCCTCAGGGGCAGGTGAGCCAGCCCCTCCCGTACCATTCTCTGGACCGTAGCTCATCCCCCCACCGATTGCGTCTTACCATCATTTGACAGACAGAGGCCAAGGCCCAGAGAGAGGGGGCCCTCCCCTTCAGCAGCAGGGAAACGGGGGTCATGCTGACCCGGGACAGCACGCCCCTCCTGAGGAGCGGCACAGGAGACAGAGCTCTGCAGACGGGGAAAGCCAGCTACCCCCCTGCACACCGGGGCAGGCTGGCCCTGCTTCTTCGGAATGAAGGCTGCACTTGCAGAAGCAGCTCAGACGTTCACCTGCTTCAAATCCCGGGCCGTCCTCTGGTCTCAAGGCCAGGAGGCAGGACCCACTGTCTGCTCCCTCCTGCCGGATGGAGCCTGGGGAGGCTGAGGATAATGGGGGCGTGGGAAAGGCTTCTGAGCCCCCGTGCTGAGCAGCAACACCAACCCTCCGAATGCCGGTGAGAATTCCGGAGCAGCTGGTTGACTCCGTCTGGCAGGCGTTTCCCTCCCAACAGCAAGGCAGCCCGGGCTTCCAGTGTCTACCTTGTAAATATCTAGGGCATTGCAAGGAAGCTGAGCTGGCACTGGGCGAGCCGACATCAGCTAAGGGTCAGCCCTGGGGCCGGGGGTGTGATGGCATAGCTGTGGCCCAGCCTGGGGAGCTTCTGTCGCTGCTGAGTGCCTCGCAGTGTGGCAATTGAAAAAGCCTCCTCCCTCAGCATCAAGCTGCTCCTCCCCGGAGGCATCTGAACAACTAGTATTATTTCAGATACACACAGGCACTCTGTTTCAATTTTTGATAGTAAAACCATTATTTCTGATGCCCATTTCTCACCCCACAGAAATTACTGGAATTTATCTG